AGCGCCGAGTCTACAGAAGAAAAAGAAACTCGCGGTAGTTTGGGACGTAATTAACTTTGTGATAACCAAGCTCAAATTAGCTGCCAAACGGCATTAATCACCGAGCGAGAATCGTCTCGCGCGATCCTTATCTCGCTAATATATATGCATGTATGTATGCATATGCGATGACACCCGAGACACCCCGTATGCAGGGCCGGTGGTCGGAAAGTGGGTAACGGTTTAACTCCTAGAACTACATCTACTCGACATGTAGATGTAGGGCCGACGTGTAATCAGTATGCGGCTTATGCGCTCAAACCGCGCCGCCACGAACCCATCGCGCCGTTTGTACGACGTAAGGCGTTATACAGTATGTGCCACCGCGCGATAATCGATAATGTTGCAACGAAATTCCCGAGTCACGGCAGAGTAGGCCGAAAAATTCGGGAGATCGGCCCGAGGGTTTCTCGAATCGCGCGACGAGGGCAGCCGGGATTTAAGAGGGATAAGATTACAGGTGGAGCGATCCGATTACGTTTCAGCGGTTTTAAAGTCCCCGTGATTCGATTCGATATCGCGCACGAGGGAGCCCGATGGCCCCGATCTCCTCGCTGCCGTTACAAATTGGAGTTTCGACGCCCGCGCGCGCGCGCGACCACTCGCTCGAATCGCAAATATTTGACGGACCTGGCGGTTCCAGCCGCGCGCCACCCTAACGTCGCCGACGAGCGGCGGCTCTCAACTGTAAACATTAAACATCCTCTTTGTCTTCCGCACTTGGGCGGGCGCGCGAAACGACAATTTCACTCTCAGCCGACACCGGGCAGAAGATACTGGCCGCGTTCAGCAGACACAACTGTTGAGCGAGCGCTCAATGATTTCTTAACATGATTGGCTGGATCTAAAAGTATTAGCCAATCATACTGAGCGCTCACTCAACAGTTGTGTCTGCTGAACGCGGCCAATGTTGCTTTTCGTCATCCCGCGATATAACTTGTAGGTCCACCCCGTCATTCGTTTCGTTTCGCGTCGATCCCGTCTGCGCATCCGACATTGCTCTGGGCAGACCAATGAGAGAAAAGTTGTACGTGTGGCTTTGACGAGTACGTGTATATACACACACGGAATACCACGTGATCGCGACCGCAAAGATCAATGGGGCCGGCAGAGAGTGGACCTGCTAGTTGTACTATGGTCGTCCGTCTTTTCGAAGAACGCCTTCTCTCGCTTTCCTGTCGAATTTTGCCCATTAATTAAATCAGAAGAATCCTCTCGATCGGCCACTGGGGGAGAGACACGCGTCACCCAAAAGGACCGGACAATTTCTGTAATCGCTCGTCATTACATTTTTAATTCGATGAAACTCCCGTTCCGCTACAATCGCCCCGTAAACGCAATTATGACGACAAGTCGCAAAGGGTTTAATTAAATTGCAGATACCTATCATAAAGATGAGATCAAAATGGCGTAATTGTGTTACGATTACGACAAACAACTGTTAATCGCGGTGTTAAAAGTTTCATGTTTCTTCATCTCTCCCCCCCCCCCGCCGGTTCTACAAATCGGATACAAAGTTTTGTAATCAACGCACGTTGATAGCAGGGTGCACCCCCTCGTTAGGCCGTTCCATCATTTCGAGGGTGCTTGACATAAGGAAGAATAAAAGTGAAAAGAATCAAGGCCCGAACACACGAGAAAACTTAAGCAGTAGAACCTGAAGCCAACTGCACACGATACTATTTTTCCCCCAACTGGATTGCTTACGAGAGCCAATCAGGATGCAGAGTTTTCGATCAGGTGACTTAGGGCTAAATCCTGATTGGCTCTCGTAAGCAATCCAGAAAAATAGTATCGCGTGCCGTTGGCTTAAGACTCAAGGACCAATGAGAGTCGAGAGCGTAAGCAGCCATTTTGAAACTTAAGCAGTGCTGAAAATTCCGAATGGTTGTAATTGTTAAGTCTTAAGTTTTACTGCTCAAGTCTTTTCGCGAGTACGGGCCTTCACTGTCGGCGCACACCGACGTGTATCGACGGCGAAGACAGGCGCGCGCGCGCGCGCGAGAGAGAGAAGAGCGGCTGTCTATCCAAACATTTACGAGCTATGTGTATAGCAGCATCAATAATCCGCGCGATATAGACCAGTGCCTAAATATAGCGGCGCGTGTTTCCTTTTTTAAGACGCGCCGAGGTGTGCTATCGCGTAATTGAAACGTCGCTTACTTCCATAATCGAGACGAGACGCGCACGATTAAAACCTAATCTATGTGCCCTTTTTGCGTCTAGAAATATTCTATATTATATAAGCAAATCAAGAGGCTTAAAAAAATTAGTCGACAATTTACGGTCGTACAATGTACAGTTTGTCAACCGGCTCAAATTTTTTCAACGTATTTATCGGCCGCAAAATCGAATGTTTCTAGGCGCAGAGAGCACATTGTAGATCAGCCTTAAAATACGGTAACGACACGCGGCACGAAACACACGCGTAATATATGTGCTGTTCTCGTAATTACATGTATTGTTCTCGTTTTTTTTTTCTAGCAACGACTACGCAATTGCGCGTCCTCGGAGTTTTATCTCGCGCGTCGGCGCTAAAGATCATCCGATCCGGAAACGATTCCCGTTAAACCGACAATCAATAATCGCGCGTTGTCGTGCACGGTAATCGTGTGATGGACAAATATTGATTCTCCACACACTGACTCAGATTCGTGATATTTTCGTGAGGGAGTACATATCGTTGCGCCGCATTTAGTGCGCGCAAGAAGGTCGCGCTTTTGCTATGTCACGCGCGTTGCGCGTTTACAAAAGAAATTTCTACCGGTGAGGTAACGATTGTCCGAAATCGTGACGTTAAACAGAGTAAACAGGATCGTATCTCGGCTCTTGGATTTCTCTCTCGGGAAAGGCTCGCGGGCGGTTGACGCGACATCTCCGTCGCGGCGTGTCCGTAACGTGGCCATTTGCGAAAAGCGGATTTCGGATGTAATAACAAATCGGCGCGTTCGTCCCCGACTACGCTACATTCGTGACTAGGCGAACGTATTTTTAATATATTAGATACTGTTATAGAAGCACGGCCACTACACGAGGCTAGATACCGCAAGATTATAGCCATCTTGTGTCTCCGTCATCTATACGAATACGTCGAGAACGCTATATCTCACCACCGGAGCGCGATGTCTAAAAATACATCGCGCTATTTTTAACGTCGATTCCTGCGCTACACACGAGAGCGAGAGAGAGAGCGAAAGCGAGAGCGAGCGAGCTGGAGAGCGAGAGCGAGCCGCGCTAGTGGGAAAAAAAAGAGAAAACACAAGAAATCTGCGATAATGCGATTACGAGTGGCACGAAATATTGATGAAGAAAGAAAGAGAGAAAGAGAGAAAGAGAGACTCGTAGTGTCCCGTCACTCGTAAATTTAGCAATATACCAAAGTTCAAATAGAGAATTCGTTCGGCGAAAATACACACATTTTCCCTGCTGCCGTGTGTTCTCTCGTAAGGTACTGTTAAAAAATAGAATAATCACTCCGCTTATTTGCCCGTTTGATCTCGGATGAAATTTTCAGAGTGAACATTTTAACAGATCGATTCAGATTAGGTATGCGGGATAAATCGGGGTATTTCTGGGTAAACGAATAATGTTTGGTATTGCGATTCCGCAGAACGGGACGTACGAGACTGTCAAATTGAAGTGTTTGGCGAGCCGACAGGTGCGAAAAGCAGTCACATGCCGATTGTTGGCTAAACGGATAAGGTCGTGGTTTACGCCGCGGAGATTTTACGCCTTTTTCCTCATATGTATAAAGATCTCTGGTGCAATAACCCTCGCGTTTAAAATACCAGCCATTCCATTCGACCCGGTCGTTTAATTCTCGTCCGTCAAACGCATTCGCTATCGTAATCTCATCGAATTACGCGACGACGCCGCTTTATATAACCAAGTCAACGCTCGTATCATCGAATTAGCGTACAAAAAAGCTCGAGGTTGGGTCAATTTGTTGGGAGAGTCTCTGGATAAACGGGTGGCCCCTATTAAAGTGATTACCTCGTTAAGGCATTGTCTTCATTGGCATTAAATCGGTGTCACAAGTCTATAAATACACGCGCGCATATCGCATCTACACAGACATGGATTTTTCTTACTTTTTTTCCCTGACAATTTCATTCACAATTACAACAAATTTATTCACATGCACGGAAACGGGAAAAATTTCAGAGAAACGAAGATGTCTGTCGAGTAGATTATCGAACGATAGAACGAAAGAACACAGACCGCGCTGTGTTTGCTAAACTAGACTTTTCAGTTCAAAAAAAGTCGAAATAAACATCTTTATACTGTTGTTGCGACAAATATTATCATATGCCTCGGTGATCGAATTGGTGAGACGCCCGCCTAGAGTGTAGGGAGGTCCAGGTTCAAACCCTGGCCGAGGTAATATTTTTCGCAATAAATTTTCTGTATTATTAAAAATGCCGGGTGTATGGTCAAGAAAACACTGCCGTTGTTAATTACCGCTGGCGACATTGAAGAATTCTTATTAGTTAAACTAGATTTGTTCTGGGGGAAAAAAAGACCTCGCGCACCCAACAACGACAGATCCGCGATGCATGGTGTTATCGACGAATAAGCGTTATCTTACCGGGTTTCTTATCGTGCTCGTGATATCACCCCCGTGGCAGATTACAACAACCGCGCCTCGTATTCCTCATATACATATGGGAAGATCCAGCGATCGACAAGTGCGCCAAAATTCAATTGCAGATTTTGCAAAAAAAGAAACCGCAACGTATCGATCAATTGTTAAAAATGTTTGACAAATTCGATTGCCGTAGATTTACTTTGGTTTGTTAGTCCAGCATGTATGCGTATCCGAATGGACTAGCTATGACGTGGCATCAACACGGTCCATTGAGAACGACGTCGGTTGTGCTATTTTTAATTCCTCGCGGCTCTCTGAACGGTACGACGTATCGTTGAACCTTTTCACAAGTTTGTAAAATAAAACAACTTACTATTTGGCGCAGTCGATGAGTTGATACTCGTTACTCCTCTCGAAGCTCTGTTGAACGCCCCGGTCTTTCCAAAGAGTTTCGACGATTTCGTAGAATTCCTGAAAGCAGAACAATCGACCAACGATTACACTCGATTGGCGCTTCTGCGAATCTTCGCGAGAAGGAAACCCATTAATCTAAGAATATGCGCGCGTTTCGGATTGAAGCAACGTGATAAATTGCAAGTTGTTTCCGATGCAACGACTTTCGAGGAAATGGAGGATTAAAAATTCCTTAGCGAATCTAAACGCGTTAGAATCCCGAAGCGCGAGACCGGGATGCAACCCACGAACCGATTGCGATGTAAAGACTGTCGGTGAATTGAACGGCGCGAGCCTCGCAATACGGCCTATTCGCGTATATTTATAGTACATTTATCACCGCTTTTATTGCACAGAATTGCCGCGCCGTTGTAATATTTCATGTTTAATTCGTCGTTAACTCGTCGCGAAAAGAACGTGCCGCCCGCAAAGTCCACGACATTGAAGAATAAAGCTGAACACGCGCGCGTACACGCGAGGAATGCGTAACAAACGCTGTTCAAATCGACCGCAGGGATTATTCAATCGTCGCCTCGTGATTTATCGGGGAAATATTTCAAGAAAGTGCTCGACGTTGCTGCAAAAGCAATCGACCAATTCTCGTCGATTTCACGCGATAGACAAATTTGCAGTCGCGACATACATTTTTATCGCTCCCAAGTTCCTTCGACCGCTGAAATCTTCAAAACTCCCCCCCATCTCTTAAAAAATTCTTCTTCTTCCTCGTGTATTAGGCTGAAAGACTGTTTTATCCAGTTCTCCTTCTAGTACTTTGAGCATTTGGTGTTACTTCATCTTCGGTAGGCTGCTAACCCTTGCCGAAGGAAACCTCCCATCTGGAGGCAAGATACTCTCGACGGTTGCCACTTCCCTTCGGGAAATTTCGATAAAGACCAGCGGTGAATTCGAACTCGGGTCTTTTCGTTCATTTGTTTACTAAACAGCGCACATTTCTCTGCGCCAGACTCGCCACTCTTGAAAAATTAGCCGAAATTCGCCCTCTACCATGACACATCCCACGGTCGTATTGTAGACCACGCACTTGGTAGTGGGTTAAAATCGTGATTTGAATGTTACGTAAATAATGGCGGCCACAAGGCTACGCGCTTCGCGTTACTAGCGGAGAATGTCGGGCGCATTAATAATTTAGATGTTATTGTGTCGGGAAACTTGGTTTCCTCACATGCGTAGGCGGTTTTGCAGAAGGTTGACGCTTTGGTCGCGGGTTCCCGTCACGTAACACGTTGACAGTCTCGAAAATTATGAGAGAACGATGAGATGGAATTCTCGTGCCGAGAGAAATCACCGCGCGATCGAACGTCAAATATGTTAATGTTCATTCTGTCAAACGTTGCACTGCGTACAAAGTATAGTTTGATTAAATATCATTGAAATCTCTTCCTTCCTCTGCGAGGCAGAAACTTGATGTATACATAAAATGTTATCTGCTGAATTGTTTATTAATAAGCAGCGATGTCTGAAAGTTAAGAATTTCTCGCGATCAATGACGCGCTCTTGTAAGCGGCGCGAATTAAAAGTTGCCGAGTAATCGTGGTGCGAGCATGCTAGCCCGCGTGCATAAATCAACGTCGAAACAGCGTAAAGTATTATTAATTATTTGAGCATTCATGCAGCTGCATCGTGTTCTATCGCGCGATGATATTCCTGGCGAAACATACAAATCTGCACGGATTGCAAAACAGAAGTTTAGTTTATATAGTCCGCAGTCTGTGTTTGCCTGTCCGAAACTCTTTCTCTCGCCAGTCAGAATTTTCTCAACAATCAATCGTTTAAATAACATTTTTAACGACACGTTAAGGAATTTCAATTTCGACTCTCGAAATAAATATCGAGAGAATTACTTCATCAAATCAAATATCGAATGCCGCGTCCGATAATAATTATTTATCGTTTCCGATAAATAATTCCGATAATAATGACGTTCGATGATACTCAATTATTGTCGAAAATCTACTCTTTCGCGGATGTGTTTAACGGTCGGTGCTGTACACAGAAAAAAAACAAGTGTCTTATATACTCGAATTAACGCGTTCATTGTTTTGTATATACGCTTCTATACGATCTATAATCGTAAAAGCGTTTAATAATCTTATGTTCCAACAATACTAGTCTTATTTAAATACTGCAATTGTCGCTTCGAGAGTACATGTAATTATTTTGACAATAAAATCATTTTAATCTTCGATTTGAAAATACGTTATTTTCTATCCAATACTGTTTCCTTTCCATTCAATAAAATTATTATTGAATAATAAGCACACCCTTTTCTCGATTGAATTACATAAAATTGCTTCAGTCAGGCAAGTTTTTCTTGCTTTAACGCAATATAATCTCATTGCAAGATTTCCACGTTAACCTAAACATATTTTCGAAAGAAGAGTGTTCTTTTTCTTCTGCGTGAACGCGTGATCGCGGGTCAGCTGTTGCGAAAATTTTCCCATAGACTTATCTTCCGCAAGCCGCGGCGGACCGGCGCGTAATTGACAAGCCTTGTAGCTGGCATGTGCCCTTTCATCGCCTTAAATGTCGCGGCGAACTTGGACAGGACGCGTTCTCTCGCGACAGCGGAAGTCCATCCCGAGTGTTGTCACGGTGCAAGCTGCAAATCACGCAACAGTCGCGACGGGGCCGGCACCGGCCGGTGTGCTTGGCAGTAACGACGACGGTTATATTAATAAATTCTCCTGTCGATGCTATTTCCACGCTTGCACGATCGATGGACGGACGCATCGTCGATCCGTCGTTCGCCGCGCGAGGAAGGATCGTCCGTGTCTCCGCCTATTACCGCGATTATGCACGTACTAATAATTTCGTCGAAACGCGTCATCCTCTCTCGCTAAGCCCCTAAACGCCGCCGCAAAGCATGTAACTCGGCTAAAAATACGGGGACACGTACACGCCGCCTTGTAAAATTCGCGTATGGCGTGCGGATAAAAGCCCGCCCTGCCCTCGCCGGATTCATTGTAAATGGTTTAAATGCGGGGGGGAACGCGCGAGTGGGTCGCTCTTTCAGATCGACGTTTCAACATTTATTCCATATTTCATTTGCTATTTGTTACGCCGCGTCCTCTCCGATATGTTTTACGCCAAACCACGAGATCTTCTGAAATAATGTAATTATATACCGATTCGTTCGTTCGCCTCTACCGTAAAAATATCCAGGTGGAATTATTTCCAAGTTAATAACTTGACATTTCCGAGTGGATACCTCGAGCATTCTCCACGTCCCAATTTCAACTTTTAACGTTATCGCGTTTACATTATTCGCAAGTTAATTTGCGCCGATTATATCAATCGCTTCGCAAGTAAAGATATCGCTGTCGACGTATTTCGAGCCTGTACCGAAATTAGGCCTAGGATCTTCCTAAAATAAATTTCCGCGAGACACCCACCCCCGCGCCACCCCTCCCCCTCCCCCTCCCGGATACGTGGAGAGGCGAATGACAGTGACAAATTAAACGCGAATCGTTGAAGATGACGACGGCAGAATTCGCAAGGAGCAATTGGGGATATTGCTTCACGGCTTTCAGCCGCAAAAATAACGCGATATACAACGTTTACTTATCCCTTTATCATTCTTTTATACCAAAACAGCAAAAGCCTCTCTACGCATAACGTAATCTTGAAATTTGTTTAAAAAATAATATTTTTGTCTTCTCTACAAAAGTAATGATTCCTATCTTCTCTGCAAAAGTAGTGATATCAACAAATTACGCCAAACATAATGGATATTTATACAAACTTGTTTTATGATTAGTTTTGTGTATTAAAATGTTATATCCTAAAGAATCAAACTAAAGATTTTATAGAAAAAAATCACGGAGATAATAATATTAATGAGACCAAGTGATCGCAGGTGCCTAGGTCACGTTTCCCAATTTCTTCACACTTGACTTTGTGGTCATGTTTTGCATCAAATGAAAGATCTTATTGAGCTCATTACAAATATGTCGGTGATCAAGTGTACCTCCTTCCTATTCTCGAGAAAACAGGACCCAAAGGTTTCATGGTCAGCAGATGGTGTCGTTAAAAAGTCAAATCTAAGACCACAGTTTTGGTCACGTTTATCATCAAATGAAAGATCTCATTGATCTTCCTGCGTAATCTTGAAATGAAGAGTTAGATACGACGGTACACCTGCAACGAAACTCGAGAACATTAATGAAAATTTTCTCCAATTCTCGAAAAGACGGATTACATCCTTCGGTCTGTCTCGTCTGGCGAGGAAAGTCTGGAAGTGATGTCGAACGTTCTCTCTCTCTCTCTCGAGCGATATAAACGTAATGCCTTGCAGGTGTATCAATCGTAAACATCGCGCGAATCGTGAGCTGACTCGAACGCGGGTTCGAGAGCTCGAATCGCAAAACAATTTAAATCAATTAATCCGGATGCATCATCGACCAACGGCGCGCGAATGCAGCCGCGTGTAACAAATAATGGGCCACTCTGGGCGTCCGCTGGCAAAGGTGATGCATCGTGCACGCGTAACGCCGTGACTCGCGCACGTCTGAATGACGCAAAGCGCGCGGATTATTTTGTCGCGACGATTTTATTTCGAGAGCCGCGTCCGCGCGTTTTCCTCTCGCGATATCTCACCCCCCGAGTGTCGTCGGACTAATCCCCTGCGCGTTTCAATCGGGAATCTCGAAGCGGGAGTGCCCGAGAGCAACTTCTACCGGACGCTGTTAACCCTAGAACCCGCACCGTGGGTCTAGAAAGACCCGAAATTTTTCAGACTACTTCTTCTTCCTCGTGTATTAGGCTTAAAGCCTGTTTTATCCAGTTCGTTCTGGTACTTTGAGCATTTGGTTCTACTTCATCTTCGATAGGCTGCTAACCTTGCCGAAGGAAAACTCCCATCTGGAAGGCTATACCCCTAAAGGGGTATGTGTGGCAAGATCATAGACATAATATTATATATCTAGACCGAGCATCGAGCAGTGGGGGTAGAGGTTCACGTAGAAAAGGACTAACTCTGTTTTGTGCTATTTCGTCCTCTCTTGTTCACATGCGAACGAGAATTGTCCTTTTCTAAGTGAACCTCTACCCCCCCACTGCTCAAATGAAGGCAAACGTCTAGATATATTATGTCTATGGGCAAGATACTCTCGGTGGTTGCCACTTCCCTTCGGGAGATTCTGAAAAAGAACCAGCGGTGTCCGTGAATTTGAACTCGAATCTTTTCGCTCATTTGTTTACTAAGCAGCGCACATTTCTCTGCGCCACACTCGCCATTTCAGACTTCTTGTATACGTTTATATTCTCGTAATTTTTATTCTACCTGCAGTTTCGCATTTCTGATAGTCTGTGAAGAATTTAAAAAAAAATATCCCGTAACTGTCTTATCAAAGCGTACGATCTGGACCATCTGAATATCTTCGTTACCGCTACATGTATTTGTAACCTCGACTCGTTGATGCCGATCTGGGGATATTAACTTGATAATTGACATCGGTGTTTTAAAACCAGTCCACCGAACGTATTCGCGGTCTTTATAAGAAGAGGTCTGAATACTGACGCTGGTTTTCAAGCATGCAAGCTCGACGGCGAGACTAACGACAAATACAATCACGTTTGCGTTCATCATGTTTCCGCGCTATGCATTGATTGTACACCATTGTTAACTCTTAATTTTTATGTTGTAATCGGTTCTTATTTGTAATTATTTTATAAATACAATGTTATAATACAACAATTACATTGCATTCATGTTACAATTTCTCACCCAACAATGTAAATGTAACATAAATGCAATGTAACTGATGCTCGCTGTTTACTGGGAAGAGATCAAAGTTGAATGCGGCCATAATGAGGTGCGATTACTATGATTTTTTCTAGGGATGCAATTCTAGGGTCAAGAACGCACTAATTGTACTCGTAAGTACAGGCTTGACCGTACAACTGCGTAGATGAATCAACGATTGATTAATTAATTCAGTTGCGCCAGATATCTACTTTATACGGTCGTAAAACCTTGTTGTCACTCGATACACATATCTTTTACCAGCGCCAGCTGGATCGTCCCTTATTGAGACTCGGCAGTGAAATCCTTTACAGGAACAGAGAATTCGCATCGATCGATGTAAATTCCCGTTATGTACGAGTATAATGATCGCATGAATTTGCGAGCGACACAATTGAGAGATACCGTGTGTGCACACGTATGTACGTACGTACATGAGAAATGGCGCAGCACGTCGTAGTACAGGATACTATATAGCGCACTAACATGTGCGGTGGCTGTGTAAACATTGTAAACACTGATCGTGCCAGGCAGTGGTTCTCACGTCGAGAGCCCGTACGTGCGTATGCCTGCGTGCCTCGTTAATCCGCAGATGTGCGTCCGCCGGTTTAACGAGACGCGAAGAAATGCCGTCGCGATGATCGTTGAGTAAATTTCGTCATCCATTGCGTATCGCCGTTACACACGCGGGCTGCGTATGTACATCGAGCAATCGGGCAGAGAGTCGCTCCGAGTATTCTAGGACGTGTTTGTGACGCGATCAAAAGGTTACGACGGAGGAGAAAAATGTTAAACAACTTATTTCACCTTCTTGATACGCGTTAATACGTTATAAAATTACAGGTGTACAACGTGCGATCGTACTGTCGGTACGATCACTGTCATCGGAATGACACGTTAATTGCGCCGAGATTGTAGTGTATTCGCTCAAAAAAATGTCTTACCAACCCAGGTAGATTTCTAAGTGTCACAACAACTTATCGCCATTTCTTGGATCCGTTAGAAAATTGTTTGCTGCAACATTTACACACGGAGAGAATTTTCTTTTAAAATTTATCCTGAAAATCTTATGAAAAAATTTTATGTGAGTTTTTTTCAAGTTTTACTAGTAAAATGTATGATAAAATTTCAAAAAACTCTCATAAAGTTCTTCAAAATGCCACGCTGTCCCACGATTACATGATTTTCAGGATAAATTTTAAGAGAAAATTCTCTCCGTGCAGCAACATTCTAGTAATACCTTCGTGAAAGTTTAAATTTCATGACTAAATATTAATCACTCACATTGGATAAAATGAATTTCGGTACCACAGCTAGAACAATCTTTGTAAAAAATATAACTGTTTATGTCACAATGGACGCCACAGAAAGACTTTCTCCCTAACATTTGCCAACAGCTCGGATTAGAAATTCTGCTTCTGGTATTTAAATTGATTAAAAACAAAACATATGCGATTTCGCAGTACTGGCTATTCATTTATGTATCTCAGTCATTTTTTTCGTACCGAGGAAATTGTTGCTGCGGTTGCAACATCATTTTCTTCAGTGCAGTTTATGGATTCTTATACGTGGCGAGATGTATATACTGCGATTCAGAAGCAAACGCATGCGATACTGCGTTCAAGGTAATCGGGGCAACGTGTAATAAATTGTAATTCCGCGAGAATTAGCGCGCGGGTGACCGACAACTGCAGTCAAAATTGTAACGTGGGACGGTTGAGATAACACGAACGAGACACCAAGCGCGCAGAAGAGCGTCTCGACGTTAAAGCCCGATCTACAATGTGTTCTTTGCGTCTAGAAACATTTTATTTTACAGCCAATAAACGCGTTTAAAACATTTGTGCGTGTTGATAAACTGTATATTATACATTGCACAATTGTGTATCGTCGACAAATTTTTTCAGCATATCGATTTGCTCTCTGCCTCTAGAAACATTCAATTTTATATAAACAAATTGAATTTATTTTTAAATTTTATTATTTTTTCATTTATTGTTTAGGTTTTTGTTATTACGTTCGTGAGAGATGATGGAAAGGTAGGTATAGGGATTTTGTAAGAAGGTTTGGGTGCGCTCCTTGGAAAAAAAGCGTCGTGTACAAGCCGAAGGGCGTATACACTACAATAAACTAACTATAAACAAATCGAAACGCTCAAAAAATCGGCAACGTACGATTGTACACCCACGGAAAATAATTTCCGGATCCAATGCTATTGCACTTGAATATATCATAAAATAGGATCGATATAGCGCCAATTATATTTATTATATCATAGGAAAAGGAACACTTTAATCTTAAATGAAAAATTCTAAAATCTAAAATAAAATGATAGGTATGTATAGTCTTTTGTCGAATATCGTGGTGCCAAGATGGAGGGAAAATTTATTTTAAACGCAAGAATATATAAACTTACATTTATATAAGTTGCTCTTGTGTTAATATAGTAAGTCAATCTTTTTTAATTCGACAGAGGAGAATAAGAAATGTTGATTTAATTTCGATATCGTCTTATTTTTATACTAAATGAGGTTGTGAGAAATATAAATGCGTCAAGAATATTTCTTGTCCCGGTAACAGAAATCCTTTCTGAAGGTGTACAGTGTATAATATACAATTTATCCGCTCGCGCAAATTTTTTAAACGTATTTACCGACTACAAAATAGAATGTTTCTAGACACAAAGAGCACATTGTAGATCAGGCTTAAGCGCCGCGCGAAGGAAACCCGCGAGGGGGAAACCGTGTGCGCCGATTTAATCGCGGCTTCTTCTCGGCCGGACGAAATTACCCAGAAACGAATTCTACATGACGCAACGTTGGAGGTCAGACCGAGCCGGGGATTCCTCCTTACGGTTATTCCTCGGCGGTGGGAAGGTCGACGAGTCACCTTCGCGAAGGCGAGGTCTCGATTTCGCGCGGCGGGCAGGTGTAACACGACGTTCAACACAAATAAGCCGGTGCCGGCTGACTCACCGAAGGATAATCGAAGTCTGGGGAAGACGAGACTTCCAGGACGTAGTCCATTCTGCTCTGGTTCGACGAGTCCCCCAGCGTAACGGGCGGCGTTAACGTACTCATCGCAGTGGTTATCGTCTGCAAACATAAGCGACGTGTCCCTTTTACCTTTTATCCAAGGGGTAAACCGCTGACGAAAATCATGTACACCAATGCCCGCTAATGCTCGGTGGACATTACTTTGTCTTATCTTATTTTAGCTTTATAATGCTCCAGCGAGGCCTAATGCCCCAAGATGCTTAGTAACACCGCAATGCCCTCGGCGGTTTACCCCTCGCTTTCATCGCTAACGAAAATGTCTCGTCCAAAAATGTTTCTTTTTTTTTCGCTAGACACAGACGTTGGAGCAACGTTTTAATTTCAATCCAAATATTCCGCGACCAAAACAATCGCGTCTATAATATTCTCGGTAGAATTGCGCCTCCATTTTTTATTTGCATTTCAACTACTGGTTGACCGTAATAGTTATCACGCTGTTAATCATTTCGTAAGAATTCCCTGGAGGCAGCGCTGTTTGCGTCAACGCAGTGTACGGAAGTGATTGCATTTTGCCTGGAGGGCAGAACAAAATCGCGCGCGCGAGCTTGAATGACAAATCGGTGACAATGCTCTTGCAGCTAGATTTGATATCGCAAATTTGCGTGTCACGTAACGGTTATTTCGAGGGCGAACGTATACGTTTGATACTATTTGATTCGGGAACAAACGCGAAATCCGCGATGCAACATTAACGACAATTCGACTATCGAGCGCATCGTCACCGGGTAGATAAAAAGCACGGAGTAAAAGAGAGAATGGATCGAGAAGTTACAATTTTCAACTAAATCCTTTGGCCAAGTGACACGACCCCTACCTCTTTTCATTTTAACTCTCCATAATAGGCGTGTGAAATCGTTACGCAAAGGAATAGATAAGTTTGGTGGAGGGGGGAGAAGACCAAAGTCTTTTTATTGAACTTATAAATCGTCTTCAAACATTTCGACCCGTTTTCGGGTCATCCTCAGTCAGACTAAAGTCAAAGAATTATAAAAGGTGTTAGGAATAGATGAGGTACTCACCAAAATGGCGTCCCTAATATTCTTCTTAATATCTTCGATCTTCTGCCGCTTCTCCCTGCGCACACACAAAGACACGTCAGCCGTTTGTCAGAAACCCGGCGTCAGTTCGTTGCCGGCCGCGTAATTAAAAAAAATGCGACTAACAGTATTAACGAGCAACAATGCGTATTGTGCAGACGTAGTAACGTAAGAGTAGGCCGAGCGGTCGACCGGCAATAATGATCGGAGTCACGAGCTGAATGAAACGATAGCGCGCAGACCATGTGTTCTTTTATCGGTATTTTCAGACCAATTCGATAATTTTAGCGCGGCCAACTACCACGCGTTTAAAAGAACTCGCTGGAGAACTCACGGCCGATCAATAACGCGCGTATTTCTGGAAGTGTTTTCGAAGATTCCGGATCAACGGGCAAATCCCCTTTGCTCGTGACGGAGGACGCTCGAATCGAGAGCTCGTCGTCGAATTAAGAGTGGGCGAAATAAAAAAAGAGAGAGAGAGATTCGGACGCCGATCGAGGAACAAGTTGTCGCGAGGTGCAGAAGCTCCATAATTTTCTGCTCCGTTATCACAGTTTCAAACGGACGGTATATTTACACGCACACGAGTCAACTCGTTTATTTGCACGACGTCGTCTTATCCAGTCGCCTCCGATTCTCTACCTGTATAGCAAAAATCTTCAACAATGGCATCTTACCGCGGGCATCGAAACGGGAGTATCTAAATTATTATTTTTCTTTCCGTCGTGGCGCAGAAACGCTCGCGGGATAAACAGCTCCGGATGAACGGAATTTCGTCGGTATTACGCGTTTTATTGCGGGCGTAAAAATTGAGAAAAGTATCTACCGCCGACGCCCGTGCGAAAAAAAGAAAATAAGACACGGGAGAAATACTGAATTGCACGGGGACGAGAGATTTGCGTTCCGCCGCGGATTAGCGGAAGATCGGGGAAGCCGAGTGAAATAAAATACGCGACTGAAATAGACGTAACCGCGAGATATCGCAAATTAGCAGTCTAGAAAAACGTACGCTTGAAAAATGGAGGGGGGGGGAGGGGAAAGGGGAGATAATCGTATCGAGGAAGAGACATCGTGCGGAACGCAACTGAATAAGAAAAAAACAAAACGATCAAACGCTCCTCTCGTTTCAGCGGTACGCGCGACAAAAGGTGGAGCCCGAGAGAATTGCGGAGGCATCGGCGTCGGGAGAAGCGAAGATGGGAAGCGCGAGTAAACAGCGAGGCGCGGTGAATGGATCGCATATTTGGGGAATAATAAAGGAAGTAGTAATAACGCGCGGGGATCCGTATCAGCCACGTGTTGATATCGCTGACACAGCGGTCTGAACCGGTTACGAGAGATGAATCATTCGCGGGACGCGCTAAAAAATTAATCGCGCTACAATTTGCGTTTCAATCTCCCGCGGACGATCCTCGAGGTAGGGATTCGGGTCGGAAAGAGAATTCCGAGAAAGAGGATTAGCGCGTCGCCGCAAATAGAGGGGGGGGGGGGGCCGCAAGCCACGTTTCGCGACTCTCGCCCCTTGGAGACGCGAACTGTTTTTTTTTGCGGCGAAAGAGACGCTCCGGCAAAATTCAATGAACGTAACGCGCGCGCGCGCGCGTTTCGTAAACGGCTCGCGTGAGTGCGATCGTATTCCGCTGACATTTAATTGTAATGCGAGCCTCGCGATGAAAAGCCTCGCGGAAACAAAGGAGAGATTACGGCCCTCCTTTAATGGGTTAACGACACGTCGCCGGATTGGAACGGATGGAGCCGAGCGAGCGAGCGGCCGCCAATCGATGAGACGCGACGCGACCGGCCATTTTTTTTTTTTATAATAAAACTTACGCTTCGCTGAAACCATTGACGTGCAGTATCCTCATCTGTTTGACGATCGTGCTTTTGCCGGACTCTCCCGCTCCTGAAACAGCCCGAAAATCATTGGGAGTTAATTTCTCTGGCACTGTCGCTGCTGCTCGCCAGCCACCTCGGCTCGCGCGCCGCGCCGCGACCGCAAAATTGAGATTTCATCAGCCGGGATATCTCGGTTATCGATCGCCCGCGATAAGGCGACGCGGGCCCGACGACGCGTCCGCGAGTGCACGCGTCTACGCGGCGGGGCCCGCCTCGGATTAAGGCTCGGCTCCCTAGATGACAATGGGGGTTAATTAAACCGCCCCTTCGACGCCTCGGACATCAGCCGCGGGCGAAACACCGCGAGCGTTTTAACTCGCCGCGATTCAACGTAATTTCAAGGCGTCGCGTCAACATTATTTCTGTATTCCTAACTCGCTCCTACGCGCATAATGCTCCGCTCGGTTTTATGTAACGTTCAGCGCTCGCGCGCTCGTACGTAAAATATTCCCGGCGCCAAACTTTCAAATCAAGCGGGCGACAAGTTGGCGAAAGTTTAATCTCCGGGATTCTCACAGCAGCGTTAGTCGCGCGTCCCTGGTTACAAGCCCGATTAAGTAAATCGCGAAATAAAGTTTCGCAAGTATCGCGGGGGGGTACAAGTGTTGCCCACGTCTATTTGCAACGCCTGTGTCGTTGGACTCGTACAATTTTACTCGTACACTCTAAAAGTCAATCCAGCGGTTTGGCCATTGAGAACAGCGAATATTCACTGTTTCACTGCATTATTCAGTGCTATACTTACAACCGTTGTCAACGATAACGCACCGATTGACTTTCAGAGTAAAGCCGGACGGGAAATCCCCGAGCACTCCCGAGGAGTCGCCGCACGACTCTTTGGCTCTCGACAATTTTTGTTCTCCCACGTTGTATTTGATCCTTCATGGCGGCTCTAGGTTTTCTTTTCCCCCCCAAGATCCCCATGGCCCGCAGCCGCGGGCGCGAGCGCGACGACACGAGCGGGGGATCCAATCGGCCGCGTGGCCCGTAATGACACGCGAGGAGGAAACAATACGGCGACAGCTGTTGCTCCGTCCGTCGCCCGCGCCGCCGACGGCGAGGATGACGACGATGACGACGCACTCGCATCGAATTAGAACGACGACCTACATAAACGCCGGATAATAGGAAGGCGAATGCGTGGACGGGGGCGCCGGGTTAAACGTCGCGCTAAATAGGCGAGCTGTGTCTATGTTTTTTCGCACGTACGTACCCGGCGCCGAGAGGACGGATACGTGAAACGGACGCGGGGAAACCTTTCGATTGCGGAGAGCAACCTGCGGACGTAAATCAATTTAAGATGTCGCCCTATTACGAGATAGGATCCCAATATGGGACAGTTGTACAATTTTCCATTCGTAATTCTCCTTCTCTCTTCCTCTTATCCGTCGCAAAGATTTTAACGAGGGGGAAACCGCTGACCGAAATCTCGTACACCAATGCCCACTGTATCTCATTATCTTATTTTATCTTTATAATGCCGAAAAAATGCCTAGTAACGCCGCAAATCCGTACACCACAATGCCCTCAGCGGTTTCCCCCTCGGATATTAACCTTCAGATTGCAGATATGTGCGCGAGCCGCACCAATTAACATTAAACTCTGAGGAGATTATAGCGGAGAATCGTTAAACGAGTGCCGGGCTGCTTTTACACACGTGCTACGGAGGAAAGTTCCCTATTACGGGATCCTAATATGGGACAGCGGGGTTTCCGTTAAATTGATGGGCATCGTCGGTTGATTCCACCATGAATTTATTGCCCTTGGAGCGAAATCCGTCTGGCGGAAAGTCCATCGTTGGATCGTGTGATCGTCGCGATAAAAGATTTGCGATTGAATTTGGCCGTTGAAAACCTGCTACCTCATATTAGAAGCCTGTCTCACGGTGGATGAATATATCTAGACCGAGCGTTTATTTTTATTCGAGCAGTGCGGGCAGAGGTTCACGTAGAAAGGGACAAACTCTGTTTTGTGCTCTTTCGTTCTCTCTCGTTCACACGTAAACGAGTTTGTCCTTTTCTGCGTGAACCTCTATTGCTCGATGCTCGGTCTAGGCATATCATGTCTATGCTTCCGCCTATGCGCCAGAAAGGATCGCGATGCTACAAAAGGGGCAGAATCACGAAATCGGTTGTCGCGAGCCAATAACGCACGTTAGAGAAAAGGAGAGAGGTTTATCGGTTCGGTTTGTCACTCGGGAAAAGAGCCTCGATGAGAGGGGCAAACCTACAGTCGGAGTCCGAAGCGATAAAACACAGGCGGGGGGGGGAAAAAAACAACGGGAGTAAGTAAACCCTCGTGGCGGCGAACAGTTTGTATCGACAACGCCGAGCGGTGGAGGCTAAATTAGACGAAACGTGCGAAAAAGACGTGACGATTGTCGCTTAATTAGACACTTTGACGAGAGCCTGAAAAATGATGGGAGGGGAGGAGGGACGCCTCGCCCGGCTTGGGGCGTAGCGATCGGCGACATAATGAAGGCACGAGAGGAGAATTTGGAGTTACAATTACGAGGCGGGGGAGGGAGAGGGGTGGAAAGAGAGGCGAAAAGGGTAGAGAAGCACGAGGCGGCCGGTGGATATTCGTGGGTGCCTGGTCGTACGATAATCGATAAAATTGAATTACGCGCCGGTGAACATCGCGATAGCGGCCGGCTCCGCTTCGCGGAGGCTCTCTTTGTCCGAAAGCGACGATCGCCGGCGGCTCTGTCCGATATTCCGAGCGCGGCCTCGGTTGACGGACGCGCTCGGTGGATTCATCTTCCTCTCCGCTCGCGCGGCCCGCCCGGTCTATAACCCTCTCCCGCGAGATTAAAAAGCGTCGGTGGTTTCGACCGTAGGAGGAGCGCGAGAGCGCGATCGATTCCGCTCCGACTTGATTTTCCCGTGGAAGGTATAAAGTTGGCGCGCGCGTGTGTGTGAAGCTACTGACCGAGCAGGAGTAGCCTGTGGGTGGCCCGGTAGACCTGCTTGTCCTTCTGCAGCTGCCTGGTAATGGCGTCGGACCGTCTCTTCTGGTTTTTGCTTTCATCCTGGCTGTTCTTGCTCTGGCTGCCGAAACACCCCATGACACACCACGGGAAGAAGACGCGCGGCTCGCCCTCACCGTTGTTCCCCTCTAGCGGTCCGGGCCGGTCGCGGGTCGCGTAGACGGCGGTGGCGGTGGCGGAGTTGAGCGAGAGGTAGGACGATCGGGACACGGATGGGGACGGACGACGACGGCTCGCGACCGAGTTGGCCGCGAGGACGGTCGCGCGGCCGGCGCCGGTCGTCGTCGCCGCCGCGGCGACGACGTCGTCGTCGTCGTCGTCGTGGTTCACGGCCGCGCCGCCGCCGCTCCCGCTCCCGCTCCCGCTCCCGCTGCGGGTCTGCCGCCCCGGCCGTTCGAAAAGCGCCCCGAATCCCGCCGCCGCGGTACGCGCGCTACGCTCGCTCCCGTTCCGTCCGCCGTCCTCCGGTTCCGCCGTTCCGTTCGTCTCGGTTTCGCTCTATCCAACTCTATCGGCTGTGTCTCGCTCGTCCGCCCGCCCGCGCGCCCGCGCGCGCGCGCGCGCGCGCTGCGCTCCCGTCGACGTCTCTCTCTCTCTCTCTCTCTCTCCCCCTCTGTCTCTCGCCCTCTTCCTCTTCCTCTCTGTTATAGCGACGGCTCTCTGTCAAAGCAAACTTTTCTCGCTCCACTTCTCGCCGCCTCCCCTTGGCCGCGCTTTACTCGGCGACGGCGACGTCCCTCTCGCGTACACGTCTCTCGCGGCACGGCACTCACTCGCGCACCTCACTCGCACGGCTGCATCTATCACTGGCGGCCTCCACTGGCCGCGGAACCATAACCACCACGCACCATGGACTCGGCGCTCCGCTCGCCGGGCGACTGAGAGAGCCCAGTGTCACGCTCTCACTCTCTCTCCCTCCCTCTCGCGATGTTGCGCGCCGACGACCACCTCTCTCGCTCGCTCACGTCGAAGCGAGAGAGAGAGAGTGAGCGGGGGAGGGGAGGGGGGGACGGTGTCGCCAACGTCTCGCCTCGCCTCGGCCGGCGGGGTGTCGACGACTGTTGAGTGCCGAGTGCTGGCTGCGGCCGCTGTCGCTGTCGGCGTCACGGCCTGACGGCGAGTGTCGCACGCGCGCGCGCGCGGGAGCGCGCGTGCGAGCGAGCGACCGGGGCGCGACGACTACGGCGACGACGACGACGGGGCGCCGGAGTTACGTGCCGGCGCGCGAATCCGAATCTGCGCTCCGTCGGCGCGGACGGCGGCGCCGGCGCCGGCCGCCGCGGCCCTGCTCCCGACACGCGGGACAGCCGGCACGACGATACGTCGACGCGACACTGCTCTCTCCTCTCTCTGTCGTTGTCAGTCTCGCGCCTCTCTCTCCCTCTCTCTCCCTCGCCGCGAAATCGCCGGCGCGAGAGACAGGGACGACCGGAGAGCGGGAGAGGGAGGGAGGGAGAGCGAGACACGCGAATCCGATTTGTCAGTGGAGGGACACGGCGCGTGTTACGCGTAGAACGCACCACCTCGTCGCGAATCGAATCGGATCCGGGATTCTTTACCGGCGGCGGCGGAGGCGGAGACGTTAAAATAGATCGACTCTGCTCTCTCGGGCGGATCGCCCAGGTCGAGGGGGGTGACGGTCGCCGAAAACAGCCGAGTGCCGCTGCCGGATCCTCACGCCATCCGCTCGCGACCTCCTCTTCGCGTCTCGCTCCCTCGGCGAGATGTTATTATCCTCGGCAGGATCCCTCGACGAGTCCCCCTCGGCTTCCTCGCGCTCCGGCCTCTTCCCCGGTCACTCCCGCCTTCGCGCTTTTCTATCTCGCCCTTCTTCCTCCTCTTCCTCCTCCTCCTCCTCCTCCGCCACCGCCGCGAGCTCCTCGTCGACGATCGCGGCGAGCAGCAGCAGCAACACTCGGGGAACCCGCACCCTCGCGTACCTTCTCTCTCGCGCGCGCGCCGTCTTTACACGCGCACTCTATCCTCTCGCGAAAAAAAGTCTCGCCGGCCTCTCTCTCTCTCTCTCTCGCGTCACCCGCGCTTTCTCGCAGAGTTCGTTCCCGCTCACTTAAATATCCCCGAGGAAACTCGCGGCCGAAACGTTCGAGACGAGGTGCTCCTTGCAGCCAACATGTCGTCTGCTAGGCCACCAGCGCGACGGCCCATCGTGCTACGGGCGACCCAGGCGTGTACGCGCAACTCCAGGTGCCCGCCCATCCTTTTTTATTTCTCCTTGGAGAATTCTTTTCGCCACCGCGAAACTCGATCCGCATCTATCAATCGAGAGCACTCTTCCGCTCGTAAGAAACTCGGCGGAGAAGCCGCGCGTCCGGGAGCGAATAAACTTAAGTCGAGTTGGTCGAGGCGTCCGTCGCGGATCGAGGGAGGTCCCAGGTTCGAATCTCGAATCATTCGCGAGAGAAACGTATGCGAAAATTCTGCCCTTACAAGAAAGTTGCGAGTTGAAAGTTGGATATTCAATGCTAAATACAGCATTTTTAATTAATTAGAAGTCGTTTCTCGATTTAATACGTGAATTTATTGACAACGGTCCCGTCTAAATGAAACTGTTATGTCCGAAAAGAAACCGGCGACGCAGGACGTGAAAAACTGCATATGAATTCACATTTTTGACTAAATTATTGGACTGTCAACACATTGCTCGGACCTAAAGGTGTCCTGGTTTGAAATACCCGTGGAAAAAAGCTATATATCAAATTTTATCGAATTGTATCAAATCATGTCAGATATGATAAAATTTGATCAGATTATATCCCAATTTTAACGCATCCATTTATAAGCATATCAAATCAAATGTGGTCAGATATAGTCAGATGTTTATACCGTTTCATCTGACTATATCTGACCGCATTTGATTTGATACACTTATAAATGGATACATAAAAATTTGGATATAATCTGATTTAAAAAATTTAATACGAGCTCGTTTTTTTTTTAAGAAAAAACAAGGAACTAAAAATGTAAGGCCAGTAGTATTACGAGCGATAAATAATTTAATAAAACGTTAAAAATCAGTTGTAATCTGATTAAATTTTATCATATCTGATATTTGATACAGTTAGATAAAATGAGATATATGGCTCTTTTCCGCGGGTAAATTAAAATTTGAAATACTACATGATATTTTTTTGTAATCGTTTCACTTGACGATCGCCGGAACTGTAGTATCCCCAGTTGACAAAAGTCCAGGGAAATTCTTGGTCGAGAGGGAAACGCGCAAAGATGCAGAATATAGAATTTGTATCTTCGGGGCTCGACCGGTCGGTGCGACGTTCGTGCGCTCTACGAACACTGGCGGAGGATCGATCGGGTCTCTTCGGCCGCGAGTATCGAAGCATACAGGTGCCGTCGACGACCCTCCGTGTGTTCGCCAACCACCGGCAATTTAATCGTCGAAACTCTCCAGCGTCGCGTACAATAGAAAAATCCGTGACTTTGTAAAATATTTAAAAAAGAAATTCCACCGTTCCGTTATTTACTAGTGGTACTAAGACCAGTTACGGCCTGAAACTCGACTTCTCCGCTCTTTAAATCGTTCGAATGTTATCGCGTATTGTTAACAAATGCTGATTACTGATAAATTTAATTTTTTCCCTAAATTCTCCCGCATTACCTTTATTAGCACGCTACTGGGTACAAAGTCAGAAGAGAAAGAAGAGGAAAAATATATCAATCTTGCGATATACTTGTGCATTAGTAATCGAGCACTGCAAATAGGCCATTTAAACGCACCAGGAACGTTGATTCCAGAAAAAAAGCCATGAATGATGCCAATGAGTCGTATTTAATAACTAACACATGCTACGGAAGTAAAAACACTTTCGACGATAACTACAAAGATTAATACACCTATTCTAACGCACCTGTTACATTAAATATGTATTTTTCCTTCATATATAACCAATAAATAAAAAAAGTTATATCTTGTACTCTCAAGCAAGTGTTCGATTCTCTTACTCGAGTTATTTTCATATCGGGGTAAATACACAACGCATGATCACGTAGCGACATATAATGCTGAAATATCAGCGACATACTGATGGTGAATTATTTTCATCGGTCCTTTTTTTCGTACCGTTTAGATCAAAGACCACTTAGTCTTGACTGACTGACGATTAAAGTGAATACCCTCGTACTCGAATTTATCGCGAGTTCTCCGCGACGGCTCCACGATTCGCGTCACTTTCGTCGTCCATTAATTTTCGATAAGTTGTAAATTTAGCTGGTGATAATTCACTGACGATGCTACGACCTGGAAGGCTCGCGTTCGGAAAACGCTGCTCGCATCTAGAATCTTTCTCTCAGTGAACGTAAAGCGGACATCTTTCCAAGATGACTGCTCGCTGTTTCAATCTAACGAGTCAGAATACTGCCTCGCGTTTCGAATTTAATACCACGCTGATTTCTTCACGTGGCGCTTGTGTCGGTCTACAGCTTGGCGGAAGCTGCCTTCAGCGCGTCCTCCGTGGGCTTTTCTTCCGCCAGGAGAGCAGTTAGATCAAGATCTTGGATGTTTACCGATGTGTGCTGATTGGAACCACCTGAGAAAAGAGAAAAAAAAATATGCACACGACGAAACACGATGCGGTCATAGCAGTAATAATAATGCACAACGTTACAAGGTATAGCGGAAGAGTCAACAATTTGACGATAATTTGTCTCGACGATACCTGCATGCGCAATAAAGAGATCCTTGAGAAAGCCAAGCTCCTTGGTGAGCATTTTAATCTTCTCCTCCAACAATTCGTTCTCCGTTTTCAGCTGATTTACTCTCTCCAAGGTTTGCTGCGTGCGTAATTTGCTCTTCACTCTGGATCGTTTCACGGCCTGCGAAACGCGGAGATAACGACGATAGTACGCGTATGCAAATAACGTGCCCGATTTGCATGCAAAACTGATAGATTACCTGGTTATTCCGATCCCGCCGCTTCCGATAATCCTCGTCGCCCTCGTCGTCGACTTGCTTCTTTCGTTTGCTGCTATTTTCCTTATTTTTCGGCGCCATCTAAATTAACAGAGACAGACGGTTAGTTTCGTAAATTTTCAAATCGAAGAGAGGCAAAGTTTTACAAATTCAGGTCGACGCTCAAAATAATTATTTCTTTTTCTTTCAAAAAAAAATGCTGTTGAATTTAAAACAGTCAAGTTGCTTCAACGTTAACGTGCTGCCACAAACATAAATAATTCACTCAATTGTGTCTGCCATGGATTTTAATTTCAAGCATTGAACGAAATAGTTGTCTCAACGATTTTATTTCAATTGCACTGATCTTGTCGATACAACATCTTCCTTTTTCCCCGCGAAGTAAACGGCAACTCTTGAGCTACGCGACAATGGCGCGTGAATCATATTGCATTTTCTTTCGGGCAACTGCGGCGTCTTTTTTCCCCACGCGGCTTAAATCTACGTGGCGCGGACCGCGATTGCTCAATCGCGACCCACTAATCGCGCGGGTCCCTAGAAGTAGATGCGTGACAAATATTGATATCGGTGTTTCAACGTCCGGCACGGGCTGGTCGTTACGTTAACTTTGTGCCAGCGCGCCGTCGCGCGACGCCAGTATGCCCCGTATTTGCCCAATAAGGCCTTGAGATCGCTGTTAAGAAACCGGCCCTGACATCTTCGCGCCACAGCGTGCACACAGCCTCGACTCCGTCTCGAAAACCGCCGACAGGATTTCATTGTGACGCGCGTCTCTCTCGCGAGACGGGGTTTCCCCCGAATTTCGCGGAGGCGGCCAACTCGTAAAAGAAAAAAAACCGCGTAATTTTCAGGGTCATCCGCGCGGCGGCGGCGGCGGCTTTTTGCTCAAACTAGTCCTGCAACGATGACACATTTCTAAACCTCGTCTAGGATCGAAGCACGGACGGACGTGATATCAATCGCAATTAATTATAGCCTAGTTCACACGTGCATTTGATACGCGTATCAAATAGCGTATTTCAACTGATCAGCCAATGGCTAATTTACCAGTGATTTACTATTTGTTACTATTTAATACGCGTAGCAAGTGCACGATGTAAACTAGGCTTGTAACCGTCACTGCCGCCACTGTGCTATATTTGCGACGGTTTCAAATTTTCACACCTAATGCGATACGAATTAGACTTCAAACCTCAGTGTCTTTTTTTATATGAAAATGTTCTACTATGCAGTCCACAATCTGGTCTGGTATTATTTTGTACATAAATGCCAATAATACGATTTGCAGACGCAAAAACTGTATGCGACTCTGTCGGTAAATCAAACCACTGCAGCATTTCAAAGTCCGAGATATTTCATTTCATAGTCAAAGTTAAAAGATGATTACTACCTGAGAAAAGTTATGTACATAGATTTATGTGTATTTCGGTGATCCAAACAGGATTGTATTTGTGGTCACAGAACTAAAAGTGAGAGTGTTAAAAGAAAAAGAGGCAGAAAATTCGGTCGAGATTAGCGTCGATCGACTTACATGCTGTAAATGATCAGTGTCATAGTTTTTATCATAAACCGCCGGACAATCTTTCTGACCCACGACTGCACATGTGCGACACATGCAGCGTAATATGTAATTCCGTATTTTTTGTTTTTCCTAGATTCTGCCTCTGAAACGTTTTGTTTTTTTGCCTGTGAGGGTTGTGCGTCCCGATGAAAGGGATAAAACCGAGGGGGAAACCGCTGACCAAAATCTTGTACACCAACGCCCATTTACGCCCAGTGGGCACTACTTTATCTTATTACCTTATTTTATCTTAAGAAAATAGAATACAAGCTCGTTTTCTTTTAAATCAAGTAATTAAAAATGTAAGGCCAATGGTATTACGAGCGATAAATAATTTAGTAAAACGTTAAAAATCAGCTGTAACAAAGTTTACTGTCATCATAATAAGTTAGATTAGAAGAACATTGCACGGAAAGAACAATGTAGCTGCTGTAGCTAAAACTTAGCAAAATAGGGACAGCTAATATTTTTATGGTAGTTGTGATAGCTCAATATTTTGCTACGACAGCAAACCGTTTGCTGTCGCACCTAATACAATAGGCACAGTAGCAAAATATTGAGCTACCACAACTAAAATATTAGCTGTCCCTACACTGAAAAAAATTTCTGGTTGAATATGGACGAATCATAATTCCTTTAGGATTTACCAAAATTCCTTTAGGATTTACCAGAATTTCTGTAGAATTACAGGAATTCTGGTAAATCCTAAAGGAATTATCTGATTCGTCCATATTCAACCAGAAATTTTTTTCAGTGTATTTTGCTAAGTTTTAGCTACAGCAGCTACATTGTTTTTTCCGTGTGTAATCTGTAAACTTATTGTAAATTTAGTTATTAACCCACGTTGTTATTGTTGATTTGCAGTATCACTCGAAAAGGACCCAAAAAATAGGGTCGAAACGTTGTCTAATAAATCGATTAAATAATTAGCCAGTTGGGTTGACTATTAGTTTCCCGCTTCTAATCATTACTGGTGACAATAAGCAAACTCTCCTTCGTTTTATTAAATTTTTTATCGCTCGTAACACCATTGGCCTTACATTTTCAATTCCTCGACTTTATCTTATTTTATCTTTACAATGCCCCAGCAAGGCCTAATGCCCAAACTAATGCCCAGTGACGCCGCAATGCCCTCAGCGGTTTCCCCCTCGGTTAAAACATTTCGCAAGCCCAATTATCTCGTAGCGATACCGTGAATCGATAAAGATCGCATCCCCGACAAGAGTATCTCGCTCGACAAAGCCGACTGCGCGCCCGCGGGCGTTGCTGAAAAAAAACCCACGGAGGATCTTTCACTCGCATTGTTGACGTTACAATCGCGCCCGCTCCGTTTCCGCGAATTGATAACATTAGACTCTTATATAAATCTGACATCATCGGCGCCGACCGCTCCCGCGCGCGCGCGCGCGCTCCGTCACGTATGTACGTGCGAGCGGAAAAACATCGAGCCCGACACGGCACGCACGTACGTACGTACAGGCGGAAGACGGCCGGCTGTTTAGTAAATTTCGCGACGAGCTCGTCCCTTTCCTTGGAGCGTGCCCGCGAGTCTCCCCCGTGGCGACCTTCGGCGCGCGTTTTAACGACGTCGACTCACCGGGACTTGACCGGTCTCGATCCCCGCGCACGTGGCACCGTCGTCGTGGAATCCGTACGGGTGCATCATCGCGCTTCTCTCCTACGTTTCTCCCGCGGAACGCGCGACGAAAATATGCGCGGCGCGCGATAATGCGGACGTGAAACCGCCTGTCATCGACTTGTTTATCTCGCGGTGGGACGGATGGTAGACTACGATAGAGCGATGGGGAGGGGGAAGAGAGAGAGAGAGAGAGAGCACACATTGCGTGCTCTCTCTCTCAGGGTGTTTACGCGACAAATACTGGAGCGAGCGAATGGCGAATTTAAATGGCCAAACAGTGGCACGAAACTCGACTCCTCTTCGTCGCACGGCAGAATCCGCGGTATCGCGGCTCGAAACGAGTACAAGTGTTTTCAAGATCGCGACGCGACGCCCTAACCTTACTATTCCGTATCGATCTGGTTCGCTTTAATCGCGCGCCCTTCCAACGCTCGAAGACGTACGTTTGATTAAACGCGTATATCGCGTGCGCCAAGACAGAGAGAGAGAGATGGAGAGGGCGAAACGTGCGGAGTGGAGACGCAATCCCGAGCCCGATGCCCGATGCCCCGAGCAGAAACGACGCGCCTGACACGCACGGGACACGTGCCAGCCCGTTATCGCGACACGTCAGGCGACTCGTCCACGTGGCTCCCTTTCGCGCTTCTTTTATCTACTCGACGCTCTCGTACCTCTCGTAAATTCCCTGAACCAACTCGTTCGCTCCTGCGTAGCCTCTGCACGGGTAGTGGCATCAAACTGCCATGTGTCCATCGGCACTCGTCGGCGTCGACGTCGATCCGCTCGGATAGGTCGCGGGATGACGCAATGCGCAATGGAATTTTCGCAAGCGCCGCGTGAATCGGACGCGTGGCGCCCTCCGACCGCGCGCCTGTCAAATACGTCGCGTCGCAACGACGCTGCATTGCCCCGCGAGACTTTACACGTGTCGCGCGTACTTTCGAGATAGCCAATCAATAAACCGTAAAAACACTTCTTCTCCCTGGGCTTCTTCTTCTGTAACTGGCACAGAACTTGAAACCAAGCCCAGAAGGCCACGGCTAACCAATAGTCCTCCGAAATGAATGATTCAACCCCGAAGGATCCAAATTTTTTCTTCTTGTTTTGTATCACTCGGCGTCCCAAACGGAAATCATAAAAGCACTTGTATCAGAGAGAGAGAGAGAGACCTGAGAGCGGCCACGCCGGCGTTTTACTTGCTTCCGTTTCAAGAGACTGTTTTGCGCGCTTTTACGCCAATTTTTACTTTTGGATCGAAACTATTTTGCTATCCATCTTCTGGCACTGCCGATATAGTCATCACTTTGTGCGTGTCCGTGATTGTGCTGTAAAATTCAAAATTACATTAACATAAATTATCTGCATGATATTTACATCGACTTTTCTCATGTAGACAATGTAAATTTTATAAATTAGGTGTCAGAATGCATAGCACAGACATGCACCAAGTGCATGAAATAGTTGCAAAAGTAAAAATGGGCGTCACAGCGCGCAAAACAGTCTCCCGAAACGGTATCGAGTAAAACGCCGGAGTGGCCGCTCTCATGTTTCTCTCTGTTTGTATAGTAAATAATATCGCAAATTTACTTTGTCCTTTCCCCCCCCCCCCGTTGGAAAAACTTTAAATAAAATTGAAGTTTCCAAAGTAATCTTTTAAATGCAAGAGTTTACTCAAGGAAGTTAAAAGTTTAAGAAATTTTAGAGTGATTTTAGACGCTTAAAGTAATTTTTAGATAGCCAAGCCTGTCGAAGTTTCCGCTAAAGGGCCGCGCGGCAAAGCACTTTCTCGTATGAAAACCGCACGCGGTATTTTAAGTTATATTACATACCTTTTACAAAATTCTCAAAGTTTTCTTTTAAATTCTTAAAGTAAGTTAAATGTCCAAATTTATTTTTCTAAAGTAAAATTTTGAGGTTTTCTAAAGTATTTTTCGATAACTTAAGGGTCGCTTCACACACGTTACGTTCGAGTTGAAGGAATATTGACGGAAACGAGAAAATATAAAATCGACCCAAGTGGATTCAATATCGCGCTGAAATCTCTCGAGATAACTCCTTTATCTTTCGTGCGCTCAAAGTCTAATCTACAATGTGCCCTCTGCATCTAAAAACATTCTACTTAAATATAAGAAAATCCAAACGCTTAAAATATTTGTCGACAGTGTACGATTGTACAGTGCATAATATACAATTTATCTACTTGTGCAAAGTTTAAAAGTATTTATTGACTACAAAATATAATGTTTCTAGACGCAAAGAGCACATTGTAGATTAGGCCTGAATCTTGTCAGACACGCGTACCGCAGAATTAAATGACACAGTTGCTAGATTTGTTGTGGAAATGTTACACGTATGATGGATTATCGCAGGAACCATCTCAACGTTAACAAATGATTTCCTCATATAAATTTATTATTTCTTTCATCGTGCATCCGAGCACTCGTACAACCCTGTAATGATTACTCGCTATACATGGTTACCAACACAAAATTACTTTTTTCGTTCACTCGGTACGCAATTATTCTGATATTCGGTGGGGAATATCAACTGCTATCTGAAATATGTTTTAATAGCAACGGTATAAACCAGCACTCGTTGAAATAATGGTTCAGACAGCAATGATGTTTTATTAATGAGTATACTCTCGATCACTCTTCTCGATTCATTCGCTCTCGGAGCCGCTTTCGCCGCTCGCGCTACCGGAACCGCTACCGCTACCGGTACCGGATCTCGATCTCGACCGCGACCTGGACTTGGACCGCGAGCTCGACCGAGATCTCGACGGTGACTTCGCAGGCGTTCCCGAGCGCGATCTCGATTTCGATCTAGACCTCGACGTGTTCCTCGATGGAGGACTGCCGGACCGTGATCGCGATTTACTATGCGACTTGGACGGCGAACGCGACTGAGAACGCGAGCGCGATCGAGACGGTGATCGAGATTTCGTTGGTGAGCGTGATCGCGAGCGTGAACGTGAGTGGGATCTCGATTTCGACCTGGATCTTGACCTCGATTTCGATCTTGATTTTGACCTTGACCTCGACCTCGATCTCGAGCCGGACTTGGAACGAGACCGCGAACGAGATCGCGACGCCAGCGAGGACGCCCTCGACGAGGGACGCGATTCCCCCTCGTTCTCTGCCTCGGAACCTGCCAACAAATTTTTCCAGTTATCGAAACAAGTTGGCAGAATAGTGTCCTCTCTATTATCGGCGAATATACAAAAGTGAACCTTTAACAGTCATTGCATCTTTCCCGTCTGCCTTCTCCTCCTGTTGATGTTCCTGCTCCTCCTCCTCCTCTTCCTCTTCGTCCTCGTCTTCCTCTCCCGGCGGTTCCAATTGTTTCTCTCGATATCTCTGCATTCTGAATTCGTTGGCGTTGAGCGGTCGGTGACGCACTATCAGGCGCGTGTTGTTTGGCTGCTGTCCGACCTTCTGGCGCCGTTTGCTCAGCCGCACGCGCGTCTCCAGTTCATTGTAGTAAACCTGCGGTGCGCAAGAGGATTAAAGCGACGAATCTCGGAATCATAACGCGTATAATAGTACGCTCATATATATATATATATATGTGTACATACCCCGTCTTGTCTCATCACAAGGAAATAATTCTCCTCGTATCCTTTGGAAGCTTTACTCTTCACGTTCCAATTGTATTCTCTCGCCATTTTATACTCGTATTCTTCCTCGTCGGCGTAATCGATACCAGCAGTAAAGTCCCGACGACGCTTCTCCAACGTTTCTTCCAACGGCAAAAAGTAAGCTACGAATTGCTCACCACTCTCGTCCATCACACCTCTACGAGAGAAGCACCGTTTTAAACAATACAATCTAAGCTACTTGGAGCGCAAGGCGAACGATAGTTCCTGCTCTCTTTCCGACGCACGTACACCGCTTTCCTTTCACATTGCGCAAAATTACCACGAAAGCTTACCGTATCATAGCCTGCGACATCTCTTCAATCTGCGCCGGTACAGATCGACCAGTCGGCGCGGGATCGGAATCGAATATGACTTGCGCGCATGGATATTTCCACAACTAAAAGTATAGAATGATGATACGTAACGACGGTATTTGCAACGACAGTCGCGACAGTACCTTAAAGTCTGGATATACTGGTAATATTTCTACAGGTACTACGTTCGGCTTGCTGTAGTGTCTTTCAATTGGCTTTATGTTGTCTTCGAAGGTCTTTTCTATAGCTTTTATCTGACTCTCGCGGTCCATGTACAGCGTTTCCTCCTGATTGAAAATAATCGAATCTCGAATTAGAAAGTACGCTACAAACGCCACGAGCGTCGTACACGAGGCAGGCTGTACCTTGAAGTTCTTCTTGATACTGTAACCGACTTTGGCTTCAACCTTGTCCGCCGTCTGCGGCTGGAATCTGGTACTCTCCGTGGAAATATATTCCGTGCGTCGCAGCCAGGAAACGCTCCTGGCGTGATGCCGGGACCGTTTAGAGTCCTGAGGTGTGAGAACATCCTCCTCCAGCAGCTTCTCATCGGCCGGATCTAACTGAGCATTTGGGTCGCCAGCGTACGTGTCCTTGTTTATCAAATCAATCTCTACACCTAGGTCATGCTCAGTCAACACTTCGTACTTGTAATTGCGTTCTAACGAAGTCGGATTATACTGAATAAATCTGCGTTACAAATATCACAAATTAGTATTAAAGGCAAATGGTACACGAGCGTTTGGAGCAGCTCTCTCTCTCTCTCTCGTGGCTCACCTAGTCTGATCGAAGGGATAAGTTATGAATTTCGGGTCGAACGGGATATCCGGTAGAGTGTTGCAATACTTGACTCTGCATATGAGCTCGGATCTGAAAAAGCGCGGGTCTATGTAGCAGCGCTACAGTTGTACTCGTTTATAGAGCATCTGTGATGCGCGTTATTTACCGCTTGTCCGCTGGCCTGACCGCGCGTTTGTCCCTGTCAGCTTGATTGCTGTTGGTCTGTATGGTAGGCGCCATTCTAACGCGTCGCGACCGCGTCGACCGCGAGCCTCATATGTCGATCTAACAGCCAACAACAGAATTCGACGCCGCTAACGAGATGCAAAAGCGACGACCGAACGTTACACATAACCACGTTGTTACCGTATACTTGCGTACGTTGGTAAGGTAGGTTGGTGGGGAGGAGGGTGTCGCTCTTGGCGCGCATGCGCGACCAATCCAGGAGCAATGAGGGCTGCTTTCGCGAGAAGATGAAAATGATCCGGATTAAAATGACCCTGTGTTATGATTGGTCAAATCTGGAATTTCATTGAATAAAATTTCAATGCTACGAAATTTCAGATTTGACCAATCATAGCACAGGGTCATTTTAATCCGGATCATTTTCATCTTCTCGCGAAAGCAGCTGAGATTAAGGTCGGCGGGTAGAAATGAAAAACTTGAATACAATTTCACAATAAAAAGACGCGATTGAAGAAGAGCCAACTGAAATTTGCTGTAATTCGCGGCATGTGCTATTAATTTTTGGACAAATTTTAGAGACACGGTGACACAATTAGGATGATTGAAAAATCCTTTTTCCAATGGCTACGTTCAGCAGAACGTTATTTATTTTGCAACTGTTGCAAGTTTTCTGTGCTATGATTGGATTATTCCTCTGGATCTAAAAATATAATCCAATCAGAAAACGTTCAACAGTTGCTTAAGGCTCGAACACACGAGAAAACTTAAGCAGGAAAACTTGAGACTTACGGGAGATGCAATGACTGTCGAGAACGTAAGCAGCCATTTTTAAACTTGCCTCGGTGGTCGAATGGATTGAGACGCCCGCCTAGCGAGAAAGAGGTTCGGATTCAAACCCTGGCTGAGATATTTTTCACAATAAATTTAAATATGAAATATTTAGACATTACCACCATATCACGGCTCTTAGTCCTTTATTCCTTCAAATTTGAGATTATCACATTTGAAGCCACACGAATTTTATTAATTTTTTAAACTTAAGGAATGCTGAAAATTTTGATTGGTTGAAATTCTCAAGTCTTCATGTGTTCAGGCCTTTACCTGTTTCTCTAACCACAGGCGCGAAACTTTGCAAAACTCGTTTGCGAGAGATGTTGCCGCCACTAAGACGTAAAGAAGCGCAACATTGAAACGTCACTTTATATGCGCTTGAAAATTACTTTTTATCGCATCAAAGAGAGATACATACAATTTATTTAACTCCCAAAGAATTAATTATACAAAGAATTTAGCATTTTCACTATATTGTAAGATGCAGAACTGACCCATACAGCACGCATGTCTTAAAAATGCCTTTTAGACATACGTGTTGTTTGGGGACCGACTCCTGAGGATCAATTCTGTATCTTACACTGTGGTGAAAACTGTTAAAAGTGAGTAGCTTTATCTCTTTATAATTCGCTCTTTAGAAAGAGACAAGCCGCTCACTTGTAGCATTTTCACTATATTAGTTGCGTTCGGCATTATGGAAAGAGATGAGGACGAGCACTCCGACGCCTCAGATTTGCAATGCCGAACGCAGCTATTGTAAAATACAGAACTGCACCCCTGTGACTCGAGAAACGTGGACTCTTATAAGTTTTGTATTTCAGAATTTATATGAAACAATTACAGCGCAAACGAAGTGAATCGAGACTCGCGGATGAACCCGAGGGTCTGCAATGAAGGTCAAAGTCGAAGACTCCCGATGAAATGTAAAATTCGCGATATCGAGACAACCGGAGCAAGTCGACTCTGTCGGAGATCTGTAATGCCGGAGGGAGAGAGAGAGACCGCGTTGAGAACATTTTCAATTCCTGTTCGTCAAGTTTGTTTCAGCAACTCCTTTTCCGAGTTGAGACGGGAAACTTGTAGTCAACCCAACTGGCTAGTTATTTTATTAGTTTATTACACAACGTTTCGATCCTATTTTTCTTGGGTCCTTTTCGAGCGATACTGCAAATCAACAACAACGTAACTATATGAAATAAAATGTAAGTTAATAAGTAAAACGGCTTTTCCGAGCTTACTCGCGCAGCTTTTCCTGGCGATTAGTCAGCGCGACACGACGTCCCAATTTCTCGCGCGTTCCCCGCACGCAGGCGTTTCCGTCGCCGCGTTATTGATTCGAATGCGCAAAACGCCGAGCGGCATTCTGAGAAATGCGGACGTCGCTGGTCGCGTGAGAAAAGCGCTTCTGCCCGTCGTACGTTCTCGCCGCGGGGCCGTACGAGTCCGACGCGGGCGTTTGAGGTCTGGAGGAAAAGCTGCACTGCCAGGTGAGGCCCGGAAGACATGGTTGGGCCCAATGTCTCCTTGTGACTAACCGTCCCGGAGGGTGGAACGATCGCCACGCAAGGCGCATCCTTCAGAACGCCTTCCGAACACGAGCGTACAAATACAGAACTCGCGACGCTGTGCAAGGTAAGGGGTGAATTGAAAGCGGCGACGTCGTCGACTCGAAATTGTGCTTGTTGTTGCAAAAAGTATTGGCTGGAAGTGGTTCGAGTTCGGCGTTGAAATTAAATCGGTTGTCGAAAGTGGGGCGAGAAGATATTACAGAACGAAAACGAGCTATCGCATTAATACTCGAGACGAATAGCGTAGAATTGACGACAAAGTATTCCGTCTTAACAATATTTGACCGCGCGACTTTTATTCTTTCATCTCTCCCTCTTGTCAAACTCGTGCAACGTCCTTACAGGTATATCCTGTGAGCCCTGTGGCAGGGCCCGGCGCGGCGCGATCCGTATGGGAACTAAGTCCAGATCCCGACATGGTCGGGCATCTACCGAACAATCCGATATCCGGCCATCAGAATCACAGTTCCAGCAAGGACACGCAGCAGAGGAGTCGTCCTGACGATAACATCTACGCGGACGAGGCCACCACTGGCCAGAGCCCCACCGATGAGACCAAACAGATCTTCGAGTTGCTCAGAGCTGGGTGAGATTTCAGAGAGCATCGACTCGCAGATTCTGAAAGAAGCAGCTTATTTGACGAAAAGATGGGAAAGAGCGCAAAGGAATCGTTTGTATGTGCAGTGAAATCGAGGCGGTCGAGGAGCTGGTCGAGAGGAACGGGCTGAGTGTGCTTAGTGCAAGGGACGAATGGGGATACACACCTGCCCATTGGGCTGCCTTGGACGGCAACGTTGAAGTTAGTTTCGAGAGACACGTTGTGATTAAAATGGTCACTTGTTCAAATTATTAAAACAGTCTAGACGATGTAAAACTTGCCTCTTTCCAACAGGTCATGAGATATTTAATAGAGCGAAGCGGACCCGTCGATCTACCGTGCCTCGGCACACAGGGACCCAGGCCGATACATTGGGCATGTCGGAAAGGCCATAGTGCGATAGTGCAATTATTATTGAAGGTACGTGTACCTTTTTACATCCATTTCATCAATGTCCTCGCGTCAACCCGTCTTTCCGTTTTTCTCAGGCGGGAGTCGCGGTCAACACGGCCGATTTTAAGGGCCTGACGCCTCTGATGACTGCCTGCATGTTCGGCAAATTTGCGACAGCCGCCTTCTTGCTAGGGTCCGGCGCGCAGGGACACTTGACGGACATCAACGGCGACACCGCGTTGCATTGGGCTGCGTACAAAGGACACGCCGAGCTGATCAAGCTGTTGATGTACAGCGGAGTGGACCTGCAGAAGCCCGATTACTTCGGCTCGACGCCGCTCCATCTGGCCTGCCTGTCCGGCAACGTCAGCTGCGTACGGATCCTCTGCGAGAAGAGCAAGATCGAGCTTGAACCGCGCGACAAAAACGGCAAGACGCCGTTGCAGCTGGCCAAGAGTCACCGCCACTCGGAGATCGTGCGCATCCTGCAGGCGGAGCAGAAGCGTCGTGCCAGATGGATACCGCCCGTTAACGAGCTATGGTTTGTGCTCGAGCTTTCTAAGGGAAGAACATTTCGTTTAGGCAAAATGTAAAGAATCCGTGCGTTTGCTTTCAAGGGCGTTGCTGTTTGGTGGGGCGGGCAACAGCAAAGGGCCGTTGCTGTTGTTTATGATATCTGTCCTGCTGTGGGGATACCCGATGTACCTGTTGAAGTGCATTCCGCTAACGTGGAACCTCTTGCGAGGCAGTCATTATTGCTTCATTTACTGGAACGTCCTCATGTGGATTTCGTGGATCGTCGCTAACAGAAGAGATCCCGGTTACGTGCCGCAAAACAGCGATACTTATTATAGGGCGATAAAACAGGTATTGCGTGCGATATCTGTGAAGCAATTGCAACGCGTCGTTACGACCCGCGTTGTTTTAGATTCCGTACTTCGATAAGTGGAAGAAGCGGAACGTCTTGCTGTCGCGATTGTGTCACAGCTGCAGGTGTTTCAGGCCCCTCCGGGCTAAACACTGTAGAATTTGCAACAGATGCGTTACGTATTTCGATCATCACTGTCCATTTATATACAACTGCGTCGGCCTACGGAACAGGTACGAGTTATACTCGCGTATGTTCGTACATCTTATCGTATTGCCTAATTTTCCAGCCTTCTATTTGCTTTCAGAATGTGGTTCTTCCTGTTCGTTATGTGCGTGGCGATAAATTGCTCTTTCACGTTATATTTCGCTTGTTATTGCATTGCAATCGAGGGCATTCAACTCTTGTACGTTCTCGGTGTGTTGGAGGCTCTTGTCTTTTGCGGACTCGGCTGGATTCTAACGTGTACCTCGGTAGATACAACATACGTACGCTGTTATATTTTTTTATGTACAAAGTTTCCATCTTATCTTACTTCTTTTCGATAGGTCCTACATGCGTGTATGAATCTGACCACCAACGAGATGTTCAATTATAAGAGATACTCGTATTTGAGAGACAAGAAGGGCAAATACTTGAATCCCTTCAGTCGAGGACCCATGCTTAATTTTATCGAATTTTTCCTCTGTCCGCCGGATCATCAAACGAACGATCTTCAGCATTATCATATTCTTTCGGAGGACGTCATATAAGACTCGGGGACGTATGAACCTCCGAATAATCTCTTCACGCACTCTCTCTCGCACGGAGAAGCGTCAAGCGCGATCACTACGTGTACAATGATACATTATTTTTTCAAGTTACGTGTACATTTGCACATAAAGAAGATTATCACCTCTTATGAAAGATACATTATATTTCAATTTATATCGCGCGACATTTTGCTGCCAGGGCACAAACTTGCAAAGATGTAGTTGAGAGTTTTATAAGTTGTAATGTTTCAATAAATCTTGAAAAATCTTGAAAAATTGAGTTTCACGATTTATTAAATGTATTACAGTTTACTCACATAGAGATATATAGATAATATAAAATACTGATAGTACAATAAAGATATATAAAGTCTCGTTATACATATAAAATATATTACGACAGATTGGTTATATTAACAGACGCTTCTGTAGTTAATTAAATTATTATATAAGAGTAAGATCGTCAACATGATTACGGTAATGTTACTTGTACCTATACGATTGGATAAATAATTTCTTAAAAAATACATAAAGTACTGCGTACGTATATAAAATTTATAAAATGTCTTTGGCAAAATATACTGCTATATTCTATATATTATTAAAATGCGCAATTGAAAGTTACGATCTAGAGAGAGAAATCTCAGTCTGTATCGTAGCAAATGTGTGAAAAGTCAGGTAAAATATAAAAGTCAACACTTGTAAACAAAGATCGATAGCTCAATATGCCTGTAAAATATTAATGCATGATGTAAACTATATAGACGGGCACGACTTACAGTTTTTACTTCAACTCGTAGCAAAAGTCATAATTTGGCGGTGGTTCAGGAATTGTGGGTGGATCTTGCGGGATATCGATCCCTTCGGCGTCTAAAAGTCTTAATTTAATATCCATGGATAGTAAAGTCTCCAAGTCATTTTCAGCCTCTTTACTAGTCATTCTATTTCCTGAAAGAAAGGAAAGAACCAAGTAAAAAAACATCATCCACCCGCGCGTCGCTTATAAATATAAGCGGAATATACGACGCACCGAGTAAAGCGTTAATGCCATCAGTCCAATAATCGAAAACTTGTTCATCGGGAGCAACGAAATCGAGACTAGATACTTCAACGGAGTCCAATGCCAAGGAAAACGCCAACTGATGCGTAGTCTTCCGTCTTTGTAGGTCTTTCATATGCGGACAATCCCTGCCGATTAGTAACCCTCGAATTTCGACTACCGCTAATTTCGTAGGGAGTTCGTCTATTGTCGGCACCGATTTCTCGTCGCAGTCTCCGTAATGGAAGACTTTGTGATTTGGCGATAAGCGAACGTACCAAAATTTATCTTTAATCCGCTAAAAATATATCGATACTTGTTAGGAACTTGATAATTTGTACGCAACATTGAACGTATGTCAAAATGATACACACTTGTCCCCTGGCACTGTATTTCATGAATCTGGTACCCTGCACTAAAAATCCTAGTCGTTGCTGCTGAATTAGCTCCAAGATTTCAGGAGTAATCTGTTCTCTAAGTTCAACAATTGGCCTCGCGTGGCTCTCCCATTCCTCTCTGTTTGTTCTTTCCTGTTGCCAGAGGTTGGTGATCGTCGAGTAGGGCAGCTGCTGCAGCTTGTTCTTGAACTTGTCCAATCCTGTGGGCTTACACTGAAGCGCCCTAGTAATCTGCTCGCGCACAACAGAGAAGACTTTGACGAAATCTTCCGTAGTTGCTCTCATTTCCTTCCAAGTTTTATTTAGCAAAACTATGCAGACACAATAAAACTCTTCGAAGGGATGATCGTGCGTAAAGAACATTGGATGATAAGACTGACCCTGTTCGCTGGGAGCTTCGCCAATGCGTAACACCTAAAATAATATTCGTTCATTTATCATTAAAACGAGAGCTTCGTTAAACGTATAATTTAAAGAGCTTTGGAAAATGTACCTCACCTCGCAAAGCAATTTAACAAGTTCTACGCTTGTTCTGCCGAAAGGACATTCATGCTCGTCTGCCCTGCACGAGTTCTCAAGAACGACCTTCGTGTAAGCTTCAGTATGATTACGCGCGAAATATACCATGCAGTCTAACGCAAGCATCCCCGGTGGAGTCTCGGTGAAGTCAAGAGCAGGATTGATGTCGTATTTGAAACCCAATTTCTTGTAATCTTTGGCGAAAAGTCCTTGCTTGCGAGCGGTCACATCTCCACTATTCGCGCCTTCCGTGTCGAAGGCGATCCTCCGTAGTTCCTTAATTTTGTCATGTGCGTCCTGATCCTGGGGATCCATCTTTGCCATCATTCGTTGCTCTAAAAGACTCAACATCAGCGTCTGCAATACATAGAGTTGATGCGCCATTTCCGCACCGACCTGTGAATCAAGGATATATTTAGAAGTGATAAAAACGTGTTCATTGGCTACTAGAAATAACCCTACTAATGCACGATTACAGATACACCAATGAAAACAAACTTTCTGCTTTAGCCTTAATATTTGAGACATTGAACATACATTTATACCAACGTAAATAAATAAAGTTTCGACTTGTAGCAAATGTTTGTTTTGACGATCGAGCACTAGGCACATGTGACAAATCTTAGTCTAGAAAACCTGGTAAGGTTGCACAGGTTGTTTCAATTCTTTTAAATTAATCATAAAGAGAAGACAAAGGTAAATGTAACTGCTAATAATTCTATACCAATATGTGATTTATACCTGTCCAGTAGACTGTATGACATTTGTCAAGAATACGTTCCTGACTTGTTTCGATTGTAACGTAGCAGAGACCGCTCGCCTTTTGTTCAGATCAGCCTTCAGAAACAGTGCGTTTATCAACGCTATCGCATTTTGTTGAATTTGCGGATTCATGCACTGCAAATGCATTACAAGATTGGGAAAAGTGACTTCCTTTTCCACTTGTCCATACTTCCCCGTCGAGTTCAGGACAATGTTCTCCAAAATACTCAGAGACGCCTCCACTATACTGGTGTCCTGAGGTACCGATTGGTTATTGACATAGCTCGCCACTTTGTTGATGAAGGGCGTTTCCAATATATCCCACGATACGATTCCGTGATCCATCAACTCCACAAACGATTGAAGCGAATATGCAAGCGTGTTTCCCTTATATTTGCCACCTTCCACCTGAAACGAGCACTCGTTATGCAAATGACTGACACAAGTCACGCTGTATTCGAAAAGGCTTTGAAAGAATAAGAACCTGTGAAATAATTAATGCCAATCCCTTCCTATTAATAAATTCCAGGGCGAAGGTCATGTCTATGCTGAGCGTGCTCAGCTTCTGCAGAGCTGTCACTTTCTCTTCTACCGTCCCATTATTGAGCTTGGTCAAAATGTCGCTCGCTGTTTTCGAGGGTGAAAACTCCAATCTGAGAATACTGCCATTCTTCACCTCGTTTCTATTTTTCTCCGTGATGTAATTCTGATTATTATTCTCTGAAAATTGCAGAGAGTACGACTCCGCCTCAGACAAGCCCCATCCGTTGCACAGCTCCTAAAATTCACACCAAACATTAGTCACCAATATTAAGTACTAACGTTCTGTCGACTCTCCTAATCTCGTTGTAGAGAATATAATTGGAACGAGAGGTAATTTCCTCGCGTGGAAATAAGTCAAGAGCCGCGGGGTGAAATTCCTTGGTGGAAAACGCTTCGTTTCCAAGCAAGATTTCGATAATTGGAGGATTGATTCAGACCCTGCACAATTATCAAGTTACGACACGCCGAGTGATAAAGTCGACCGTACCTGGATAATTCCGGCCAAAGGTTGCTTCTGATTGAACTCGATGAGCTGCGGCACCTGATCGGTCATCTGGACGGCGATCTTCACGATATTCGAATCCTTCTGGACCGGCATTTTGATCGCCTGCGTGTACATAAAAGGTGGAAGAGCGAGTTCCGTGCGGCGAGACGCGCGACTACGGTGTTACGTAGGCCCACGCCGGTCCAGCCAGGTCCAGCGTTTGTTTACAATCCGCTGGCGAGCTTTGACGTCTCCGCTGTCATAACGATTCCCCGAGATGCAGTTGCAGCGGTCACGTGACCGCGAGGTTAGAGCAGGCGGGCCCGCTTCCGCCCGTCGCCGGAAACGACGTGTGGATTTTGAATCCAATTCAACTTCCCATCGGATTTTCATCGCGAAGTTAAATTAAATTGAAGCTGCGAAACTTCGCGCACCTCAGGGGCTAATTTTTTTTTATTCAGGCAGCATGATTTGCGTGAGACGTAAAAATTCGCAACCTCAGAAAGCCGTGAATGTTTTGACCAGGATGTGTTTTATGTTTTAAATCCAGCAAGGGCCTGAGCGGAATAGCTGTCTTGTATTCTTAAGTCACAAGACAGTTATTGTGCCTTAAGGCAACGTTTTAAAACATAAAACATTGTCTTAAGAGTACAAGACAGCTATTAATTTAACAACAATTGTCTTGCGTCTCAAGTGTCACTTAAGCGTAAACTACAATGTGCTCTCGGCGTCCAGAAACATTGTATTTTGTAGCCAATGAATATGTTAAAAAATCTTTACAAGTTGATAAAATAAAATAGAATGTTTCTAGACGCAGAGAGCGCATTGTAGATTACAGGCTTTACAGTGATTGCGCGATACTTTAAGACAAAGATTTGAAACATGTAAACATTGCCTTAAGAAATAATTGTCTAATCTTCCAATACTTACGCTTCTCTTTAATACAGTTTACGTAAAACCTTATCGCGCGCAATCGATTCACAAAGTTGCAATCAAAATCTCATTTTCTCGAGAGACGGCAGGATAAGCATGGCGATGGAGTGTTTTTCTTTACGGTGGAATGAAAGCGGGAACGAAGGAAATGAAGTAATGAAGAGCAATTTGCTGGCGTAAGTAAAGCAATGCGTGGGCCTTGATTAAAGATGTGTATCTTCTGTCGCCTAAGAAAATACGAGAAACGGCGCAACTGCGGGCAGAAACGGTCCTCGAGCGCGGATAAAGGCTCTCGTTTTCCCACGATGGGATTAATTCTTCTCCGTAGGACGGCGGTGCGGCATCGTCGTCCGCAAGACATGGCAAGTGATCCGCGAAAACGTCTGCGAGATACCTTTTCTTTTCGCCTCGCAGTATGCATCGTCCTGCAGATTAGCAACGTCGCCTCAAAAAGTAAAGTGATTTTAAAAAAATTATACCTTAATTGAACGATGTGCTGTGAAATAATTAATTGTAAAGAACGTTTTATAACTTTGAATAACGACATTTAAAATACCTGAGAATTACCCTGCCGGAAATGATTCTACAAAACTATAAAACATAACTGCCAGAATCTAAGAAATTCTATGTAAATTTAAAGTGTTATAAAAATCAACATAAAAATGCTAGAATTGGAACACTTTTGTTAATTTTTGTAGTATTCTACAAGCAAGCGGATGTTTTAATTCTTTAAGATTCTGTTGTTTCTCCAATTTTTAAAACTAGTAAAGTTCTGTACTAATTTTTACAAAATTGTACATCTTCATGAAATACTAGTTGCAATAATTTCTTGATTTGAGAACATTGTAATTTGTGGTACTATTTCGTAGATATTTTTACAAAAAAAATAATGTTTCAACGAAGATATAAAAATTTCTACGAATTTCTATTTCAAGTCAATTTTTGTAATTATTTATAGAAATTTTCTCCGCTAGGGTACACGAGTCAGTTAATCTGTGATGCTCGTAACTGACGATTTATTTATTATGTGTCTTATAGAAATTGAGGAAATCGATCGTGGAACGTCGACGATTGTGCTCAATCGGATTGACAGTACATTTGAATTGCTAAATCGAGCGATCGCCGAATTGGAATGGCAGACTCTCGCAAACCGCTCGATTGTACCATCAGAAATATATATGCACTTTGTTCGTCTGAAAGTAAAGTTAAGGAACGAATGGTGCGCAAAATTGATGGACCTTCAAAATGATGGCGCATCCGTGAATGGAAAATTGCTACGCTTTTTGTGCAAAGGACCGAAATATACCGATGAAATAGCAAGGTACGACAGACCGATAATCTGGTAATCAAAGTTGAAAGCCTTTCAATTTAAACGCATTTTCGTTTCGTGTCTCTTCTTGCAGAAAAATCACTGCTATCAACGAAGTGTTGTCATCCGCATACAACTCCGCACGGATTTGCAAAATTGAAAATTACGTACAAAGATGTTACAGCGGTGAATTAGACGTAGGAAAGTTAATGGCAACTTCAAGGCGCGTTACAATTACAGCCGTATCTGAATTATCGAGTACACGGAGAGAATTTTCCCTTCAAATTTACCTTGAAAATCGTACAATCGTGAGACACCATGACATTTTGAAGAACTTTATGAGTTTTCTGAAATTTTCCTATACATATTTTACTAGTAATATTTCAAAAAACCTTCATAAAATTCGTCGAAATGCCGCGTTGTTCAACAATTGCACGATTTTCAGGATAAATTGTAAAAAATTCTCTCCGTGAACATATCTTTTGATTAAAGTTACGGCTCTCCAGAAATCTTCCAGAAAGAAGGAATATCGGATACCCTTTGTTGAATGTATAATCATTTATTTAGAAACGAGGAGGAATTACGTTGGGCTTGGACTGCTTGGAGAAATCGTATGTGCCACACAAAGAAACTCTTTGGCCAGTTAGTGAATCTTCAAAACACTGCTGCGCAAAACAACGGTAACATAACACTCATACTAAATGATGTATTGAGATTTAAAAAGAAAAAGGATGAAGTTTTTACTTTTAATAGCGTTAATAGTACTTACACTTTACTGTATAAGGCTACACTGATATCGGAGAGTATTGGAGAGAGGAGTACGAAATTCCGGACTTGGAAAGCGTTTTTGAAGAAATGTATCGACAAGTTGAGCCTCTTTATCGTCTTCTTCACGCCGTCGTGAGATTCCGACTTGCAAAGTTGTATCCCGACGTCGTTGATACGTCTCTGCCAATTCCCGCTCATTTATTAGGTAAAATAAGTAATACTGAAATAAGATAATGAAATAACAGATGCAACTCCTTTCTCTCGGCGTTATTCTTATAGGCAACTTGTGGTCGCAAAGTTGGGAAGCATTGATCGACGTGGTGTTTCCAAATTACACCACGATTATGCCGAGTCTAACGGACTCGATGACACAAGAAAATTACAGCGTAATAAAAATGATTAAAACCGCAGAAGATTTTTATACATCGCTCGGATTTCGACCGTTATCGTCAGAATTCTGGAAGAACTCTATCTTTGAACAAGAAACTGACAGGGGATCTAGCTGCCACGCAACCGCGGTCAACATGTATAAAAAGGATGACTTTAGGTATTTTTTATCATTAGAAGTTATGAGAATCGATGTTGTGAATTCAGTTGAAATTAACTGTACCTTGCTTATTTTAGAATTTTTGCGTGTTTAGAAACGCAACCGCAAGATTTCAACGTCATTCATCACGAGATTGGTCACATACAGTATTATATGGCATATCAAAGTCAACCGTCCTTTTTTAAAGTATTTAACCCTTTTAAAATTAAATTGTTACTATATAACTGATCAATTTATATTTTAAGTTGGAGCTACCTGTCGTTGTTTTGACAAGAATTAATTTAGTATATTTCTAAGAAGTTTCAGATTATAGTTTTCATTTTCATTTGTGTAATGTAAAATATGTGTCATTTTATTTAGAATGGAATCAACAGTGCTTTTCACGAGTCAATAGGCGATGCCATTTCGTATGGGGCAACTTCTTTTCGACACATGCACCGTCTCAGATTGATTCGTAGCGCGTTTGCAGCACCCGGTAATTTGTCTGAAGCAAATTCGCGTTTGCAAGATTCATTGAAAATGGCTCTTCTTTTAAAGCAAGCTTTACTTAAAATACCGCAAGTATCCAATGGACTAATAATAGAGAAATGGAGATGGTCCGTTTTCTCCGGTAAGATACAGCCACCGAGATACAACACATTCTGGTGGAGCTTGCATCGTCGATACATGGGCGTCGTACCGCCATCACAGAGGTCCGAAAAGTACTTTGATCCTGCAGCGAAATTCCATATCGCCCACGGTATACCTTATGCTGGGTATGTTGGAACGATTCGACACGAAAGATGTAGGAATGACACTAACAAATAATTTCACATCAACAGATACTTCCTGGGGAACTTTCTGCAAATTCAATTATTTCAAGGAATGTGCGAGGCATCGTTGAATCTACCAGTTGGTTCTACGGCGTTTAACTTACCTCTTCACAAATGCGACATTTATGGCTCAAAGGATGCGGGAAAGTTCTTAAGGTTGGTAAAAGCTTCGACTGCAAATTCTTACAAAATAATAGTTTTAATTTTGGTTTTTTTTTCAAAAACAAGGAAAGGAAATAGTAAAAAAATAACTTTCCTAACAATATGTATCTAAATGCTCGGTAGAAAACATGAAAAAGGATATATGAATGTGTGTAAAAAAAGTGATTTTACCTCACTTCATGCTTCCAGGTCTATTATGAAATTCGGAAGCAAAGCAGATTGGACATATGCGTTACATGTGACAACGGGTTACTCGGAGTATCGCGTGGAACCGTTCCTAGCTTACTATGAACCGGTTCGTAAATGGCTGCAACGCGAAATTGAACGTCACAGGATTCCAGTTGGCTGGAATTGAAATGAATCAATCTCGAGTTTTATCTCATGGAAACTCGCATCTGTCTCGATTTCCCTTCGCTGTCTGTCCAAGAATTATACTGATTACATCGTTGTATTCTAAAGTCCAGTAAGATTAAGCGATCGCTTGCTTGCGATTGTTGTCACAGTTCCGTTGTATTTAAATCCTGTTTCGAGCCCAAACCTTCATTTGTGAATATGTCAAATTCTTCACGACTCGCGAGAGCGTTACGGACATCGTTTAGTGTAATAACCTTAGGACATCTGCAATACACATTAATGAGATACATAATAGAGCGTACAAATCGTAGATGCATAGTGGTGCAAAAAAAAAGTATAATTACTCATTTCCGCTGTTTCTCTCCCGAGCTCTCGCCAGCGACGATCGAGTGAGATCCTCCACGAAACATTCGACAACCTGAACATAATGATGATCGCGAGGATGTAATTTTTATCTTATGTCTTAACAGTGAGTGCAATTTGCAGAAAAAAGAATCTTTACCCGCATTATTACGCGACTAGCTGCACAATATAGAACACCAGGAACAATCTCCTCCGGTCCGATCTTGACGCCGATATCTCGCGCGGTGTCGCACACGAAATTATGGAACGGCAGCAGATCTTCGTCAAGTTCAATCGGTATTAGCGTAGAACCGGCTGAATAATTGCTATTTTTGGTAGTGTCATTTTTTCTCCGATCTATTGCGATTTTGCGCGGACTCTCCTTAACACTCTCGACGTCGATCTCCTCGTCGTCGACGTAATTATCCGACGACGGTTGATTAGGCCCTTGCTGGCAGGTCTGCAGCCACGTTTGCAACGCGACCGATTCCGTACACGTGGACAAGACCGCGGCGGACGTCGTGGCATCGGGTAGTTTCTTCGTATCGCTCGTGCCGGCTGTTTCCTGCACGCCGACAGTATTCCGAGTCGGTGTGTAACCGTGCAGTCTCGCCCACAGTATGATCTCCTTGATGCTCCACAGTTGATCGTTCGGGATCGGTTTCATCCGCAGGAAACTTCGGATCGTCTTGGCGCGGTACCACTCCATAGCTCGCTGCTTGCCGACGTTGTACGCCAGGTATTCCGCCTCGCTGAAACACGCGTACGGATGTAGCTGTCTGTACTCGGGATCGCGAACGTCTTGCGTAACGATCGGCAATCGGCGTATGATAAATCGTATCAGCCCCTCTGTGTCGGTGATATTCACGGTGTTGATAGACCGCAGCACCGCTTCGTACAGATCCTTCTTACTCTGGATCTTAAGTTTGTCCTTGCCCAGCGTGATCTTCGTTCGCAGCACCACGGCCTTCTCCTCCAATCTCGCGCACGACACGGGCTCTTGGTTGCCGGTCGACGGAGCGTCGCTCCACGCCGCCTCGGCGAGGCCGCACTTGTATCGCGAATCGCGCGAGTCAGCTATCTTCAGGACCGGCACGTTCTCGCTGACGTTCAGCAACAGACTATTAGCCCCTTTCAGCTTGAGTACAGCAGACTTCCCGTCGTTGTTAACTGCGTCTTCCGGCTGCGAATTCGCCTTGACGTTGGGCGGCTTCTTTAGAATGCTCACACCCTGAGGAACGCGAACGTTTAGTCTCGCGATGCTACCGTCCCTCGGAACGGAAACTTTCACGTTGCCGGCGAGCATTTTTGAGTTTTCGTTCAATTTTGTCGGGAGAATACTCGTAAAAGCCACTGGCATTGATTTCTTATCCTTCAACAGGAGCACATGCTTGTTGGTCGAGGACGCGAATATATTTGACGGCGGTATGGAGATGTGCAGGGGCTTTAAATGCGAATTGTACATTTCCGAAGTAGACTTTTGCGAGCTGTTGAAACCATCGAGCGAGACACGTTTGCAGAAACCATTGGTCGCCGTTACTGCATCTTTGGCCGGGGTAGATTCTGAAGTCGTGAAATTATTCGAGTTTCTCGCTTGTAAAGATTTCACCGTGTCGGGCGAAAGTAGGCTCTTTGGATTATTGTTTTCTTGGAATGTGTTCACTAGCGAATCGTCCGTCGTCACGTTTGAAGATGCCAAAGGCTGGTAGTTGCTGGAAGACTGGATATCGCCATTAAATCTAACCGCTGCATCGTTTTTCTCGTTACTCTCGACTGTCGGCGAATTCGCCGCGAGTGCCGTACAGTCGTTTTCCGGATAGTGCTCCACAGTCGTGTTTCCTTCTCTCACGGTACAATGAGCGGAGTTGAAGTAGTTATGGTCATGTTCGATGTAGCAGAGTATCGTTTCGTTGAGTTTGCCATTGGCTAAACGAGCGATCGCGTCGTCGGGTTCAGTTTTTATTACAACGCTCTCTGAATTGTTTACCAACGTTAAATCCATTGATGAATTCAGTCGTTCGCGTATCTCGGAATCAGATGTTTCTGCTTTCACTTGCGCTCTCGCGGAAGCGTCGACAGCAAGCCGCGACATTTCCGCGGATCGTTTGTGAGTAACATCGAAACTATTGCCGTCGTTCGGTTCTATCTTTACAGAAATGTCACTAACGGAAGACTCGACGGGCTCGTCGTTACTCTGCCCCGGATGACGGGGTTCCGCCCCGCGAATCCACACGTCGACCACGGTCTCCGAGCCCAGGGTCTGCAGTCCCGTGTAGGTGCGGTCTAGTTTCAGATGGTGAATTATGTCCATGGGCTTGTTCAAGGCATTCTTGAAATGCAATTGCACCCTGAGAGGAAACTCGCCCCATCCTCGTCTGGTCAGGTGAAACGGGTACGACGTGACCTCAACGATGTCGTTCGGACGGTAACTCGGATGCAGGAAGAACCTCACCTTACTGACGAAAGTGCCGATGTTGGCATTCTCATCTTTGTCACCGCGCACGTACATCGTCCACTTGTGGCTGGACGCATCCTCTCGCCAATCCGGCGGGATCCACTTGGAAATGTTGCCGATGATAATGCGCTTGCGGACCTTGTGGCTATTCCCGCGAGACGGGCACGCCTTCTCGGGCACGCTGCTCTTCGGCGGCACGTAACGAGGTACCTTACGAGGCTGGGACTTCTCGTCCGACGGCTTCCGTTTCTCGCCTTGCGACGCGTCGTCGCGTTCGTTCCCATTCTCTTCGATTTTAAGCGGATCGCTCGCCGCAGCGCCTGCGCCCGACGCAAAAGACTCGTCATTGCACAGAAACCGAGGATCGGTCGACGTCGACGGCACCGCAGGATCAATGCAGCCAAAAGACTTGGGACTCTTTCCAAGCAACGTTTTAATCGCAGGATGAATCCTCGTCTGCTTCTTCGTCTCCGCGGCTTGGGGTATTTGACACTGTTTGCGGTTGTAAAAATTAGTGATTATGATGTAACGCAACAAATGAAAGACCTTCAGACTTTTGTGTATTCTCTCCTGTATCTGTAAAATTTCCTTCTCCTTCAAATCAATCTCCCGCGCGAACTCCTTCTCCACTATTGCAGTTATCTTTTGTGCGGTAGTGTTTCTTGCTGAAAAAAGAGAAAGAGAGAGAGAAAAATGTGTAACCTGTCTACAGAGAATCGTGGCGTGTTATCTATGGGAAGGTCTGAAATTTGTTAATATTGTAAATACTTGAGAGGTCAATCGTTTCGTTTATGTACTACGGACTAATTCTGTATGAAATTGATCATTAATGGAATCAATATGTTTACCATTTTCTTCGTAAATCTTCTGCTGGGCTTGGTCGTCGGAGGTCGCGGTGACATAATCAGGATCCTGACCGTTTAGCGATTCTTCAGGAGCACTCATTTATCGCGTTTGCACTTCGCTCGAGGGAACAAGAGTCATTTCAGAACGCAGGGTACAGCAGTTCTAGTTAGGTTGGGATTGACGCGACACTTGAAAACGTGAGATGACATCGAGCGACAGCCTCTGGACACGTCTGTAGAAAAAGAAGGTAGACTTAATTAATCTCGCCGTTCAGCGGCATCGCCGAGTCGTCGCTCAAACACTTATTGTTAGACGCACATCTTATCGCTCTTGTAAATATACGTGTACACAAAACTTTCGGACACTCAATTCGCGGAGGAGGTTAGAGCCGTCGTGGTTTTACCGCTTACGCGCGACCGGTTATTCGTATAAGCGAGCGATATTTTAGAAAAAAGAGGTACAGGTACGCGGACGCAAGGGTCAGATAACGTACACGTTCGCCGGAATGTCGAAACTGATATCGATAAAAAGTGAACCACATCGTTACACATCGTCCGACCGCGTTTGGCTGGCACGCAAGCGTGTGTACCGCGCCATATTGGCCACCGGGGCGACCAACTACGCTCGTGCGTTCTCCCCTATCGGAAGAAAAATAGGGACAAGTAAGTAAACGATTTCGGACTAGATCTCGGCAAACTGGAGCCGCGCCAAATTCAAATCTGCGCCGTTCCTTTAATGTGCCCGCTTCATTTTCTGGTTAAATATTAACAAGAGGTTAGCCGATTGCCTGTCCCTCCTAAATAAAGAAATCATCTGCCAGCCTAAAGGCGTCTAACAATTCCTTTTACCGTTAATCAAAACTACTGGCGATTCACATTCTTTCGTTGTTAATTTAATACTTTTTATGTGTAATATTTTTAGTATTCTTTGAATAAATTCGCCACCCACACGAGTAAATTTTTCGAAGCTTCGAAGTAGTTCAAAGTCTCGAGGTACGAATGTCGAAACCTTTGAAGGAAATTAACAGTCCTACTAAATAACACAATTAATCGAGAATAATTTTTATAAATTATATAATTGGTTTTAATACAATTGCTGCTGATATACTTGATGTATATTAAAAATATTAAATGTGATAATTTAATAAATAATTTTCCAAGCCAATGATCGGAATCAATTCTGAACATTTCCGTAACAGGATGATTCAGGGGATCGGAATTGTTCAATTATTTTCTAGATTTCTATCGTGTTTTCTAGGGGCGATCGGAATAATAATTCCGATCGGAATCCACTCCGAACATTTCCATGCTAGATATGTTGAATGGGCGACCGCTTGGAGACGCCGTTATCATATTAGAGTTCCCGCCAGTCAATGTGCTAATTAATTTTAATATCTGTCGTCTCACGAGATATGGTAAGAAAAGAAAAACAAAAGCCGACTAACGATAAGAACGAGTCGCGTCATTGACAACCTTTGCTTCGTGTACGCAAATTGTATATTTACGTAATCCATGCGAGAACGCAACTCACTCGTAGCTCAACTAGCATGTGTACTATTATTTCATTGGGCAGAATTTTGAGGGAGGAGATAAATATAAGTTCGTACGAGTATCATCCTAGTTGATCCGGATCAGTGTACGTTTTGAAGGCGATTCCAAAGGTTCTCGATAGAGACATTTACAAGATATCTACATAGACCGCAATGACGTGGGACAGTGGTTGTCGTCGTTCGACACTGCTATTATTCCTCTGCTACTCCACGTCGTTCACAGCGATTGCACAATATTGCGTAGTGAGAGAATGCAACGAGAGTACGTAAAGGTCACGGCATAAGCGTATGATTTTGTAAGTCGCGGCGAATTTCACGCTCAGCTCTCGGCTCTCATCAATAATTATCTGTTGGATGCGAATATTTTTATATTCCATTTGTGCGTTTTAAGAACTTTCCAAGAAACTTTCCATTAAATTGTTTTCAATGCGACTTGACACGATCACCCACAATCAGCTGATTACTACCAGGGTCTGCCAAGTCTTAAAATACATTCTGCGAAACGATAGCTATGCCGTATAGCTTTCTTGAAGAAATGGACAATATTATAAAATGTTAAGTTGTTAAACTTGATTAATATTTTTTAAAAACCGAAGATATCGTTTCTTATGTTGTTCAAACTATAGTTCTGTTTCCCGGATAACCAGTGTAGTTAAGTGAACAACTAAAGAGAGAACACATCGAACAGACGTACTGTTAAAGCCAACGGCACACGATACTATATTTCCTACTGGATTGCTTACGAGAGCCAATCAGAATTTAGCCTTAGGTCGTCTGATCTAAAAAGATGTCTTTTAAATATGTGTACCCTGATGGAAAAATTTTGCTGAAAATGTAATGAAATTAATGAGAAGTGAAATGAAAGTTATTGGAAACTTATTGAAACCATTTTAAAATAAATCATAAGTTTCGTTATGAAATTCAATGAAATACTGTGAAATTAGATGAAAGTTAATTAATATTACTAAAAATTAATAAAAAAATTTATAAATGTTGTATATTAAAAAATTTGCAGAATTTCACTGAAAATAAATTTTTTAATGAAAAATTGCTGAAATGATAATGAAATTGGGTCAATTGCAAGAGATTTTCAACCAAATTTCAGCAAATTTCTTACGTTTTCAGCAAAATTTTTTCATCAGGGTACTGTATGGGATGCTAGCAAACAACAGCACAATAGACGACATAGATGCGTAGCAAGATGCTAACATTTTTTGTTAGCAACCCAGTGAGAAATGATTCATCGATCGATGTCGAAAGCGATATCGATTCGACATCGACAACGTCAAATTGACGTCGATTCGACATCGTTTCGACATCGATTATAAATGAATCATTTCCCACTGGGAATATGAAAGCAACTTGTGCTCGCACTGGTTATCTGGGCTGCTAACATTTTACTGATTTATTACTCCGGCAATGCTGTTTAAGTTATAAAAAAAACGTTTAGCACAATGATAATAGTTTCGTACGATTATATGCGTTATTAAATCACATTGTTGGATAAACGCAACGACAAGAGCTGTTTTGCGTAGTTTTAATCGCAACAAAAAATTAAATAACTTGCCAAATTAGCTAACTTACAAATTTGTATTTGATGTATTTAGTCATTCTACAAATTGAAAACCCAAGTAGAACATATTAGTCACGAAAACATCAAGATAATATCATTCTTTGATCATTTTTTATGCATTACGATGACGTCAAAATAGCCCACCGAGAGCACCTATTTGTGACATCATTAAGACATCAAAATATTGTAAAAATAATCTTGTTTTACAAAGCAAGGCTAATTAAATATTATACATTAAAAATAAATTGAAGTAATATAGGGTAAACATAATATATAATATGACTGATCGTGTGATCTGTAATAATATATATTATTATACACATCACGAATATCATAAAACAGCATGTCAGAAATCAGTCATTGCAAAATAAATCTTGATGTCGATCATTTTATGACGTAAAATTCATCATTTTAATGTCACCTTGACGTTTTTGCGATTAACTTGTTATACTTGGGAATACTTTCGCGTAGCGCCGATATAAAATTTTGCAGTTTATTATATTTAACGCACACCTGTCTCAGTTATTGTTACAAGAAAATGTATACGTGACAAATCATTTCTCATTGGGACGTCATTACTAATCTCTCGTGTGATAGCACACAGCTACGCACGTCATCTCCTCATGGAATTTACGTTGACAATCACCGAGAAGAGACCAAAACAGCAGAAAGACACGTGATACTATACTTGACCGAGTGCGAGCTCTTTGTTGTCAATCAGTAGCCAATCTGTAGGCAAATTGTGCCAACAACTTTCGAGTCCGTGTCTTTCGAGCGGATAAACGCTCTTTCACTTTTCCCAATCATTTCGTAGCGCTTAATCGTGCAAGTATGAACCGCGTTCTTCTGCAGATATTTCTGCTCTTCCTAAGCTTGTTTGTGTCTTTAGGACAATCCGAGCTTCATTTGGAATTGGTACAAGTGGTAAGCATTCGCATTTAAATACACATATAACATTGGTACCATTACACAATTTTATGACGACTTACCAAGTTAAATAAAGTAAAATTAAAACATGAGATAAATGGACGTGTGAAATCAAAAAGTCGATAGAAGTTTGTTTCTTTATTTCTGCGAAAATCTAAATCACTGAAAAATATGAAAGTTCTGTAATGGTATCTTTTATCTTACTCGTAAATGTTAAATTAACATAGATTTACATTTACTCATTTCCTACATGTTGTAATAATATAATGTAATGCCGAATATTGCAGTTAATGAGACATGGAGAACGGACGCCGCTACTTAAAGAAACATATCCCACGGATCCGTATAACGTATCGACTTATGGACCGTTGGGTTTTGCCCAGTTAACTAATGTAAGTACAAATTAAATATCGATATTTAAATATAATATTAGTCTTAAAAAGTTAAAGAGATACGAAGTATTCTCTATTTTATTAGAATAGTTTGTAATATATTTTACATATACTTCACGCATCATTAACTTGTACTTAAGTTCTGTTCAAACCTGTTATCTTTATTTCCTCAGTGTGTCAAGGCATCGTTTACGTAAACATTATTCATATACATATGTATATTTACCAACCTTTGGCTGTTCTGAATATTTTACGTCGAATATTTCTCTCCACTCTTTGAGTCCCACAAATATAATTCAACTCTTTACTAGACGCGCTTCTTCATTCTTCACGCGTTATCTTAAAATTCTAACATATGTGCCACTGATAATTTTCTACAGTGATAGATAATTGACATAAACAATAAAAATTATCTTTCAGCGAGGAAAGCTGACGGAATATCGAATCGGAACAATGTTGAGGCAACGTTACAATGACTTTCTGGGATCGATCTACCATCCGCAAGATATCTACGCTATCAGTTCAGACAGTGATCGCACAAAAATGTCTTTACAATTGATGTTAGCAGGGTTGTATCCTCCAGATGTACCACAACTGTGGAATCCAGATTTACCGTGGCTCCCCATTCCTACATACTATGCGCCTAAAAAAGTAGACATGTTATTTAAAGCTAAACGTTGTCCAATGTTAGTATTTTAATTATCAATCATAAATTTTGTGCATATAAATGAAAATTATATTTTTAATTATCTCCTACTTATTTTCTTAATGCAATTTACTGTAACTTAATTTTTTGTATTATAGCTACAAGGCAGCTTTTGCTGAAACAAAAAAGATGAAAGAGGTCCGCGATAAAATCGCAGTTCATGAAAACTTGTTCAAATTTTTGATGGAGAAAACTGGACTAGCTATCGAAAAGCTGCCTTTAAACCTTTACAATCTATTAACGGCACAAGTGAGTACAAGATTTAGAAAAAATTTGATCTTTTTATATCAAACGTACAACTGTTATACTTTTCAATATTTTATAACACTTAAGATTAAAGTTATAATGATTGACACGTGTAAATATGAAAATGACAATTAGTGCTATATGTTTCGTTCACTTTTTGTATTTTAGAAAAACATGAATCTAACTCTACCGGAGTGGTGCACCGATGATGTGTATCGGCAGATGCAGGAAGCTGTCGTGCTGGATTATGAGATCCGTTCATACACGACTCAGTTGAAACGATTGAACGGTGGTATGTTCATCAAGAAATTCATCGATAACATAAACAAACGTTCGCGCAAGATGTATGTGTACAGCGGCCACGAGGTAAATATCGCAGCGTTCGGCAGGGCCCAAAATATTAGCGAACCGAAATTACCGGATTATGGATCGGCATTCTTACTTGAGAAACTGCGGGATGATTCTGGCAAACTTTACATCAAAGTAATTATATATACATTATATTTTTTCATAATAATTAACAAAATTGAAATACATATTAAGTCAAGGTAAACATTCGAAATCAATTAAATTATACGACCATTAATAATCGTCTGTTTCTTGTCCATAGATTTTTCTGTGGACAGGCACCACAGAAAAATTAATGCCCATCAAACTGGCAGGCTGCAATGAAGTTTGCCCTCTAGAAACTTATTTAGAGCTCGTGCGGGATGTGATACCTTCGGACAATGAGACGACTTGCTTGTGGGACAACATAACTAAAGAAGAATTGCTAGAGTTGTTTGCTGAAAAACTAAATTTGAACTAAAAAAATTTTGTACACGGACTGAATAAAATGGATACTGTATACGTATTTGTATATGAGACGTTAATAAAGTTTGAAGAATAAATGAAAGGAGTAAAAGCAAAGTCTCGAGGTATTGTTGTTGCTTTTCCGAGATGCTGATTGGTTGTCTCGCTTGTGCGATACGACATGCTTCAGTCACGTTATTTGCAGCTGTCAATTTTTAGACACAGCAAATGGCACGCGCGAAGCGCGCGCTTGTGTGTGTGTAAGAGAAAAAGTTTTTACCTAAAAATTAAACTTTCAAACGTGCACCATTTGTACGAAAAACGGCATTTTTTTAATTTTCGTACGTTTTTTACTTTTCGGACTAATCTTATATAAAACAAAAATTTTGGGTTTTTTGTTCCAGTTTAAAAATTGGAGGAGAAATCTTTCCGGCCGCGGAAAGTAATAGGCTTCCTTTGCTGAACTCTGACGCCATTTTATTTAAAAAAAAAATGAAAAAATTTGTGAATACATTTCGAAGTATGTACAATAAAGGCCTTAAAACAAATTTGATAATCCATTCATTATATCCCCATAAAAACTTGTCAAAATTAGGCTGTTTTTCCGGGCGCTAGAGTGGCATTACCCCTTAAAATATTATAATCCAGTTCGATGATCAAAGATAGCAGATTTATCTTCGTATTATCGTGTAGCTAAATGCGTCTATCACTTTAGGCAAAAACAAGGAAGAAAATTGTACTGAGGATGGAGTGCACGGAATGCAAGTACATAAAACAAATTCCGCTGAAAAGGTGCAAGCACTTTGAGCTGGGAAGTGACAAGAAGAGAAAGGTGAGCGCGAATACATCTAGAGGATAAACAGATGAGAGTACGCGCTGGTGTACGATACGTGGAGTAAGGAGTAAGGGAGAGCTTTTGATGTAAGAAAGCTAGAAGTTAGGGCTCTCCCTTACTCCTTACTCCACGTATTGTAGACCAGCGCTTACTCTAGCTTTTGGTGTAAGAAAGCTAAAATATGGGCATAATTTTTAACATATTTGTAACACTGATTGATGGCATTTTGATTCACCGAGAGTAAGCCTAAGAGCTGAAGTAGGAATAAGAAATTATATGGATTTATTTCCTTACTCATACTCCTTACTCCAGCTTACTCCATGTATTGCAGACCAGGCCTTAAAACATGCACAGATCTTGATCAACAAACTACCGTTTCTCTTTTTTAGATCAAATGATCCAGTGCTAAACTACCTACTCAACGTTGCGCACATTCTGCATTCTGTATTTAATAAATAAATAAATCTATAGGAATTTGTACATCTCTTTATTCTGTATTTTACAATGCAAAAATTTTTTAATATGCTTGAGATGATTTATCATAAGATAGCGCGTACAGCGTTAAGTTAAATGCACGCTCGGATTCTTATCGTACCTTGACCGTCGTATCACAATCCGTTGGCAGTCATCTTCACCTCCCCGACCAGGCGCATTCGACTGCAAAATATAGGTCGACGACGCACTGCCCATAAGGGTGCAGACGCGAAACCACTGTTCTTCCTCGTTATCTGCGAATCTTCTCCTGCGAATCTGTGCAAATGTCTTATTGCAAACCATTTCTTCATAAGATGGAATCAATTCTCGAGTCAGATCCACGAACTTATCGAAAGGACAAAGGGTTTCGCAACCTGGGATTGTAAGTTCGATGATACTCGGTGGAATGCCTCGATAATATAAAAGCTGTAAAGTTATTACGTAGCATAAATAATTAAATTCGTTATGTATGTTCATTAATAAATAATTCAAATTGTTTCATATGTTTATGTTTTCATAAAATGATTCTAAACATTAGAAAATTAATAATATATTTACGGTATAAACAGACTTTTTATTTTACATTCGCTTACTTTTTAATAAAGAATTATTTTTAGTAACGTTATCATGTACAAAGAGATATTTTACAAACTATTTGATATTAAACTTACCTTTACATAATACTGCGTGTTTTCTTGTAACATTTCTAGAATAACTGCGCTAGAGTATTCAGGTACATGAGCCTCGTACACATTAAACGAGTGCAATAGTCCCGCGATGTTAGTTTCGTGACCGCCATATAAATAAATTTTCGTGCTTGATAAAGGCGGATTCTGCGCGGCTAGCATATTCGTCAACATCGTGTCGATTATTGGACCTATAAAAAATAAGTACGAGTATGTAAGAAAGAAAGCTTAGATGTTATAACCGTTAAATTATACAAAACCGTTTAACAGTTCTTACCCGAATGCAGCCTCTTTAATAAAGGAGTGGAATTTGCAATATTGTATGCAGCCACGATTGCATCGAATAGTTGACCGTCCGGGAAATATTCATGCGCCCAATTAGGAAGAGTCAGATTCATAGATGATTCTGCTACAAAAGTGTGATACAAATAAAATAAATCCAGAGGCTTCTCGATCTTCTTGTCGGTTAACCTTGTCAATTTATTCATCATGTCCTCGAATTGAGACATTTTCGTTTTCGTTTCGGGTAATTCTAACACTCGATTATACTCGTTGAGATACCTGAAAATAATCTCAAATTTAAATCTCTTTATTCGTGAAATTTTCAAGTTTTAAGATATGTATATTTTGCAATCATCTTTAACATTTACGATATATTACAATCTTATTTTAATTAAAGTTAGTTGGTTTTCTGTTATTTGTTTAAATATTTTTTATGTTCTCTATTTGCCGAGCTCTATATCAAAGAACTTACACGAATCCTTTAAACAGTTTATTGTTCGTCGTTTTATTTATTTCTTTGCAAAATTAATCATGCTTACCGTGGGCACTCATCACCTAAGAAGAAATTATCGACAATACGTGGTATATATGTCGTTGGAATCGGTTGCCAATTTAACGAGGGATTCCACCGTTGTCGAACATCTATTGGTGGAAACAAGGCGGCGAGAACGAGTTGCAGAGACATTTTCGTTCTATCATAATCCGAACTGTGACCATGAACGAGTGTTGGCAGGTACATAAGTCCCAGAAATTCCTTATACCTGTCACGCAAAGCTATTCCTAATTCATACTCGCGCATCTTCCCTCGCTAGAAAATTGCATTAATTATTAAAATACATATATTAATCAATCTTAGATCATATTACGATTGAAACGAATGTAATTAATTTTCTATCACCTCTATCATTAAGTGCTAACTCTATAATATTACAAATTTTTTAAATCAATTTACAATTCAAAATTTAACCATTCACCTTTATAGAAATTAATTTTATTTTAATTCATCCTTCTCACCATATCGCTTTTTTCGGAGAATTATTCGGAAGAAAGCGTCGTTACACTGTACTTACATTGGTCAATTGTCCTAAACCTACTGGGTAGAAGGCATAAGTTAAATAGGGATCATTCGGAGACAATTCGTATCCGTTATTATCACACTGAC